CTCTTTAGGCAGTACGCAATAAAAGCGGATTGCAGGTAATAATGTAGTGTAGATAAAGGTAAGTAGCAACGAAATCTGAACCAACAGGTCAGCAACCTATGGGAAAGTATATGCCTATTCCTGCTTATATATCGGAATGTTTGTCTTCCATTGAAGTTTATGCAGCAACAAACGTCGCTGAAACAACGTTCGCGCTAATTCACAAATACCTGTTGAAAATACATGATCCGATAATTGGCTGGCTATGACCTTACTAATTTTCTTCCACAAGCCAATAGTTTGCACCAATCTACTTTCTTGCAATCGTGGCCAAAGTATCATAAAAGATAAATTTGCAAGCATTGATTCCAGTGGACTATGACTCCATTCCCTCCCTCTCTATTCCGTTTGCACGACTCATTCTCTTTTGATCTGGGCGACGACGTGTAATGTTTGGAATCGGTTTCGAATGCGAATCGGTCTCCCGTCGAATTACTGCGGTGCCTAACGAGTCGGACCGCTTTACTGAAAATCGTATTGTAAGGGAGTTGTATGAAGTTAAGTGCATCCCGATAAAAGTGATCGGTTTAGTTTGATGGCTGGTTCATTTCCCTGCGCTGCACACTGTTAATTCGAGTTCAGACGCGGCCGGACCCTCTAGTGCAGCCACCAATAAACATGCAAACATCATTTAAGACTCATGAAGGCAAGACGTGTACTTTTCTTGTTTTAAGGCAAACTTAGTTTCACGTTTTCCTTGATCACATGTTAGCAAACGCGACATTGTGACTGCAGTTGTCACCACTCAGCTAGCAAGTTGAAATAAATCACGGCAAATGGAATATTTTGCATCATGCCAAAAAAATCTTCTGTAATAACACAATCAAAGCGTGGAAGAATAGTGCGTCCTCGACAACTTCTTATTCATGACAGGTAAACCCTTTCTCACCCAGTACCCACGCAACAGACAAAATGAACGACAGAGATGCGTCAATGAGTATCCCTTTAAAGGCATAATAAACATCATGAAGTAAGCTCGGCATGCATTGTTCAGAGTGCTTTAACGCTTTCTCGTGTCATTTACACGCTTTCCAGTTGACACCGCAAAAGCTAATGCAACAATCACCGACAGGATACTAAAAGCTAAAAGAAACAATCACCGACAGGATACATATGGAAAATGCACACAAGCTTGGCACACGTACAAACTTGTCACACTTGGCACACATATACAGCGTACGTTTAATTAAATTAGACCCAGTGTCATCATATTTTGTTGTCTGGTGCTTTGGTTTCGGTCTAATTTACACGACGCATTAAACTCTCACAACATAACTGATTATACACTAGATTGAGAGAGTGTATCAATAGTTATCAATTTAAGTCGTAATAATAAGTAAGGCCTTATCAATCTAAGTCGTAATAATAAGTAGGACCTCAAGCACGAAACTCGTAAAAGGAAGGCAAACAAGAAAAACATATGCGCCAGCGTAAGATTCTAGTTACAAGGCATACCTGTTCCATTTTAAACAGGTCGACTGGGGGTAACTCCTACACCTCGCCCACGTCACTGCATTTCCCCTCATCTTCATCTGTGTCGCTATTTCGCCTTTCGACGTCCTTGAGGAGTGCACTGATGTCCACTGCGCTCGCACTGGCCTGCGAGGGTCGTTCGATGCCTGGGCCTGACCCTGGCCTACTGTGTCCTGCCTTGACATCTTCCTGGCGTATCTGAGCCGATGCTGTCGGTTGTGTTTGTGTCTGGCTTCCTGCGCCTCCTCACTGTATATACCAATGGGCTGAAACAATGACTCGATCACGTCCGCCCCATTAACCAGCAGTTTGTGTACAGGCAAGGGCCTATAGTGCCATGGATACAGTGGCACGAACAACTGAGCCGTCTTCATGGTATGCTGCGCGTACTTCTGGGTGTTGATGGCCGAGAATGAAGACGGAGCAGATAGGATAACGGCGAATCTATGACTAAGACTCGGGTCCACGACTGTCACTTCACTGAGCTTGCTGGCATTGCGGAATTCACGACGTTCCGTGTTGCCATCGTTTGATGTGCTACTTCCCCCAGTTCTCGTCTGATCCACTACTGAGCTTGCCGACATTACGGAATTCACGACGTGCCGTGTTACCATCGTTTGATGTGCTACTTCCCCCTGTTCTCATCTGATCCACTAACAAGCTCATATTCTGTCGAAAACGCCGCTGCACCACTTTTTCCGTTCATTTATGCTCGCTTCGTGTTCTGATGTCACCGTCCAAGTCTTAACTGGCGACCGATCTCGTCGGGAGACGAAACTGGTAGGTCTCCTGGCGTGCGGGGCGAGCTGATAACGCATCTAGGCCATTCACTTGCCTCGGTGTTGCTCCGCGTGCAGTGCATGACGCATTGATCTTTGTGTCTGTCAGAGCAGTGATGACTTTCCGCCCACCATCGTGGGACAAACCTCATGATGAGCTTCCACACGAATGTCATCGGGAGTAGTCAGGATGGTCGGCTTCAACACGATCATTTCAGTTTCGACCCGCCTGCTCTGTTCTCTCGATACATCCGCAGTCTCACGAATGTATTTGATGCACAGAGGTCTGCACAGCCAAGTTGATGGCGGCACACTATTCTGCCAGAGCACTGCGTTGTCGACAGAAAGTCTCAAAGGTATCATTTATGTAGAAAACAGGCTGTCTTCCGCCATTCCTGCACCTTCCTCGCGGACTGCCTGCTTGTACACTAATTGGGATGTGGTTCTATCGAATCCCCACTTGACTTCGAGAGCACCACGGATGGCCTGTGTGCTGGGTCCCGGCTGGTCAGCCGGTCGGTCCAACGTCGCCAGGATGTCATGCGCTTCCACCAGACGGTGAATAGTGAGGCCGAGCAGTGCTTGCAGAGTCACTTTAGCACTCATGTCACTGAAGGTCATTGCTGCGGCCGGTGGGTAACAGTCGTGTTTTGCTGATTGCAGTTCGTTGTACGCGGGGAAGGAATGCTGTCTTGATGCGTCATGAGCTGTGTTCCGCGGCACTTTGAACCCACGCACAGGCAAGTCACTGGCCACCCACATAACCAAGGCTTTGTCAAGTGACGCGCACGCAAGTAGCGGATGGTGGGCGGGTTCACTCAGAGCACACCGCATCTTCTTTCAGGACATAAGACGGATCGGCTGTTCTTTCGGCATGCGCTTCTGGTTAGCCGCATTTACGGGCTTTTGAGCATCTTGGCCGTTGGTGGATGTTTTGAGGCCCGTCGCTTGATTATTTCGCTCAGCCGGCATAGGGCGTTGTCGGGCGTCCGCCTGAACCCCGCGACGTTCATCATCAGCTGAGCCGGTGGGGTCCTGATCCCGTGAATCGGTACTTCAATGTCGCCCGTAGATAACGACACGTTTTTAGCCAACACTCTGGCCTTGCGACACCCATATTTGTTCCACTCGTCTCGCGTGGCTCCAACAAAATTAGATAGGCTCGATGTAGCTCTTTCCAACATTCGTCCATCAGCTCGACGTCACATTCTACCTTTGCTATGCTTACTCCCAGCTCAGCTGCACGCAGCTTGCTGCGTTTCTCTCGCTTTAACAGCAGACCTCCTTTCACTACTGCGTCTAAGGAGGCTACCCTGCTAAGTCACAATGCCATGTTGCGCACCTGACGGTCAGAGCACGACCGATCAAATACAATAATGAGCCGACCGTCTCTCTCAGGCACTCGGAGCAACTCTACTGGCTGACGCTTGACCAAGCACCAAACCTGTTGCCCTCCTCGTTCTTTGTTCAAAGTTGGTGCGACTACCGTATCTCCTCTTCCAGGAGGTATCAAATGTCAGCCCATTCCCCCGGTCAGCCAGGCAAACAGGGTTCGCCGGCCGGCCAGCTGCCGCCCCGCACAGCGGCCGGACCGGTCGGCCGGCTGGCGGACGCGTGCTTACTTAAACCCTTATAAATTTATTCGGACCTGTTCTACCACCATAATGATTGTTAGAAATTGTTACTGATGCATTAGAGAGTACTTTGAATGCAGTTTAAACTGGGCACTGACGTAGCCTCTTTTGTTGGCCTCCACACGTTTTAAGTTCTGACAATATCTCTAGTGCCACATAGGTATTCCAATATCACGTATTATTTCCACTTTTACGCCATTTGGAACAATTTCAATGCATTACTCGATAGAGCACAATCTGGTGATCCTTTTGATACAAATATATTTTGATCTTGTTTATATTTACCCCAAAGAGTATGCCACAAACATCCTGTCAATTTGTTGCAGAGTGAAGACGTCGCATGACAAGTTCCAGGTTCGCGCAAATGTGAAACAAACACAAAGTGGCTCAGGTGAGTTCCGAAGGTGGTTTCACATGGCCTGATCAACTTGATGAAAGAAAACGGTAGAAGCAGACGGTTTCTAACATGTCAGGCATTGAGGCTTCGGCCACAATTAAACGCGAATTAACAGTGTGCGCTGTGCGGGTGACGTCACATTTGTACCCGATCTGTTTACCAAGATCTGACAGCACATCAGGGTTTGAAGAGATTGGGCGCATCAGAAAGGCGATCTGTTTCATTTGTCGTTGAACGGGCGGGAAATTACAAATCCAAGCGAAATGTCGAATCTGAACAAACAACGAGCATCGCAAATGCGCGAACATATGCGTCCGCGCACACCACAGCTGGTTATATGTCTCTGACTACCGAGATCCGACATAAATTAATAGCCCAATTAATTCCTCCGACACAAGCGAAATGCTACGCCAACAGCACCGTAGATTTATGACTACTGGCGCACCAATGATCCGACGGCATTTTAAGAATTTCCAGCCTATTTTACAACGTATGGCGCACCACTCCGCACCAACGTGCGCCGGCTGGTCCGTTTTCACCGCGCCAGCAGGACCCCCGCGAGGATGTCCTTCGATTTGCATCCAAGACCCGTCTCCGTCAACGAAATAATACCGTTTTCCCTGCATAATACTCAGACCAAAGAAAATCTCTGGTCGCTCACACGAAACAAACAAGCGATATGTGTCATAAATTCATATTAAAACAAACAACCTCATGGTCGGCAACGGCACACAAAACGACCGCAGAGTAAAAAGCAAATGAAACACCGAGTGAAAAACGGAGGTTACACACGTCAATGACGATGACATTATAAGAATGGTCATATAACGAATGTAAGAGACACAGTATAAGGCGTCTCAAACGCAACATGGCGTCATTAATGGATTAAAGGAGCAAATCATGATTAAATATAGCAGATTGTCCCTTCTGTGCACACCATACGACTGCAAGACAATGAGATATAGGTCCGAAAAGCAGCCACCTTCCTACTGAGCGTGTCCACACCATTTTTTCTTACCGCGGCGGGGTGGGCAGTGCTGCAAACGCGCTATAGAAAAGCGACCCTCCCACTCCTACGCCCCCAAACACGGCTCTCCACCGCACACGTGCGCAGCCTTCTGCCACTCACATATCGACCACGCCAGCATGCAGAGGCACTCTTCCCAGCCGCAGACACCCTTGCGCGGCTCCGTAGTCGATGTTTCGCGAATCGCACCGGTCAGCGCGCGCCGCCAGGCTGCACGCAGTCGGCTCTGACCGGCCGCCCCAAAGTCCATCAGTCACAGACGGCTCGTCCCCACCTCACAGCACCACACGGTGGGAAGCTCGCAGGCAAGACGCGGCTCAGAAGCTCTACCATCGCCGACACACGGAAATACAACCTGCAGACGACAATGGTCGACAGCATCTAAACAAAGTCAACACGTTGGTCCACACGTAAAACACCCGTTTAGTCGGGTGTGCGCTTGGTAGAAAGAGAAACCCCTGTTCCATGACCTGTGTGCGGACTCCCAAGATTTGTACGAAAAATAAACTTAACCAAAAGTCCTTCGCAGAAGACAAACAAGTGTCGGCACACGGACGAGACTCACAAAATGACTAGCTCACCAAAATTCGTGTTTCCATAGCATCTACATAGCTTTCATCGCTCACGTCCGAAGCCGCCTAGTGCAGCACCGGGCAGACTGTCGGCCGCCTTCATCTTCACGGCTCGCCAGCCGCCCGCGCGACGCCCGCGAACGCGGTCATAACCTGCCTCCAACTGCCTCTATCGGCCGCGCCGTCAACCTCAGCCTGCCGAGCCTGCCGCTAGAGCGCGGTTTCGGCGCGCGCCCGCGGCGCCGCCTCCTCGCCCACCTGGAAGGCGACCACAGTGGCGTGGTCGAGCTTGCCGGGCACGACGGCGAGCTTCTCGCAGACGCGGCGGCGGCGGGCGCGCTGCTCGGCGCGGCTCAGCTCCAGACCGTCGCCGGCCGTGTATAGCTCCTGGTCCTCCAGCACGCGCCGCTTGGCCGTGGTCAGCCGGAACGCAAAATCGAGCAGCTGGCAGCAGAGGTGGCGCGCGTCGGTGACGCGACCCTCGCCCTCCAGCGCGCCGTTGCGCAGCAGGTCTTCCATGCGCAGCTGCGTCAGCTCGTGACGCTGGTAGGCGGTGACGATGGGCAGCACGGGCACGGCGGCCGGCGACGGCGGCGCTGGGCCGCCGGCAGCCACCTGCGGCCACGGCGAGAAGCCGTGTCAACATGTGTCGATCTCGCTGCCACTCATCGGCACGCCTCGCAACAAAACGAGGCCCATATCATTAAACATCCACGCACAGTGCTTCTTCACGGTTTGCGTCAGAAACATAAGACATCATAGGCAGCACGATGTGCAAACATACAAGTAAACCCATACAAATGATAGCAACCACTTGCTGAGGGCCGCGCCATTCGCACACCTCTAAATAAGCTTCCGTAATGGGCTTGAAGAAGCTACCGTAATAGGCTGAGTTACGCACAGACCGTCACACGAGTGCGCGATTACACGTCGCCAACTTCCCTGCGATAATTTCCCCTTTGAGCATCGCTTAGTCCACTTAACCACACCGGCCAGACTGACTCACCTGTTTGGCGTTACGCCCCCTCGGCACCGGCCTGAGCACCGTCTTGGTCAGCTGTTGCCGGGGCGCGCCGCCGCCCTGGCCGCGTGGCGCGCTCTTGCCCGGCTCGGTGCGTGGCGCCCTGCCGCCATCTGTCTGTGGAGTGCTGTTGCCGGCCGGCCGGGCGGCAGCGCTGGCCGGCCGGCCGGCCCGCGGGGCTGGACGCCCGGCCGGCGCCGACGCCGACACCCCCGCCTCCTCCTCTGCCTTCTTGGGCAACACGAACTTGCCGACCACCGGGTCGAAGTTGTCGCTGACGCCGTCGCTAGTGAGGAAGACGATGTCGCCCGGCTCCACCTGTCGGGGCAGGACGGGACAGAGTTGGCATCCGTCCGGACACACAAACACGCGCGGCCTGGGGTCTGGAGAGGTGAACGCTCGCTCACGATATCCCTGCCCGTCTGCGGATACGAACGCTTAATCTCGACACCCCTGTGCGTATTAACCTAAACTCACTCACGACACGTCTGTCACTCCGCACACACCAATGACAACCACTCTCTCTCCTGACAATCACCATCCGTCAACTGAGCCGTAGGAAGGGCGACCCTGTCCAGCTCCTGATCTGGCTCCAGGAGGGAGCGAGACAGCTCAGCTGCTACTGGAGAGGTCCAGTTTGTGGTGACCCTGACCTGGGTCATGGACAGCGTCAGGTTGTTCAGCTCCGGGTTCTGGCCGGCCACTGGTCCCAGCGCTCCCAGGGCATCTCGCATGTCACGCATGCTGTTGATGTCGTGCGAACCTGAAAACGGGCACGAGACGTGAGTCGCATACCGGTGGCCGGGACCCGGCGTGTCGGCATTGAATGGCAAACGGCACCACCAAAACAACGGTTCACCGCCTTGTAGCTATTTCGCGCACGACAAAAACTAGATATACCAGGAGGATTGGAGCTACGCAGTTCATGTTACCACAGCTACGACAGTTGCATCCGCCGAGATAAGGTGCTGCAGTTAGTATCGTCACTACAGCTTCACCACTTGACATCGGAGACCCACCAGCTTCAAAACATTTTCACATGCCAGTGCCCTCTGGCCGTCATGTTAGACCAAAAGTACGACACAAACAACAACCCCTCCCCCCCCCCCCCCGGGCAGTGACACCGTCCCGCACCCTACAGACCACGGCTGCCCAACGTTCCACCGACCTTTGGTGATCTCGCGCACGCCGTGTCGCTCGCTGAACACGTAGGCCAGGCTGTCGCCGACGTTGCAGACGCAGACGACGTACTTGTGCCGGGTGCGGCCGGCCGGCAGGAGGCAGGGCGCCACCACGGCCGCCGTCAGCGTGGTCAGCATGCCGCCCTGCTGCAGGATCAGACCGTGCGCCGCGTGGAACGACTGCAGCAGCGCCGCGAACACGTCCTGCCGACGACAGCTCAGGTCAGGCCGCGTGATAGCAGCGACTACTGCGGCGCATCGAACATGTCCTGCCGACGACGGCTAGGGTCAGGTCACGTGATAGCAGCGACTGCAGCAGCGCCGCGAACACGTCCTGCCGACGACAGCTCAGGTCAGGCCGCGTGATAGCAACGACTACAGCGGCGCGTCGAACATGTCCTGCCGACGACGGCTAGGGTCAGGTCACGTGATAGCAGCGACCACAGCAGCGCGCCGAACACGTTCTGCCGACGACAGCTCAGATCAGGTCACGTGACAGCGCGACCACAGCAGCACGCCGAACACGTCCTGCCGACGGCTGCGGCTCGGGTACCCTCACGCTCCAACAAGCCAAACTTTTTTCTAAGGCGACATGGACATGCCAGGTAAAGTGTCTTAACCCCATCTGACCAGCAGACACTCCGTCGAATAATAATGGTCGCATTAATAAGATCAATAATGCAATGACAAGGGCAAAATAATGAGCAGCGTGGATGTGGAAGCCGTCCATGCAGGAACACAGTGCTCCTTTTTTAATTGAAAAGGAGACGCGACATACCTTACCTTGTCACTTTTATCGAGGGCCAGCGACTGCATTAGCCATGTTAGCTCCAGCGCAGGGCCGTGACCGACCCGTGCCCCACCGTGCGAGCACTCGGGCCGTTACCAGTGCGGCATGGGACCTCGGCCCTTCACCTGATCTGCGCCGGGGCCCACATGTGTGGTGTGCAGCCCCGGCACTTGACCCGGGCGATGGGGCGGCTCACCCGGGTAGTGCGGGCGCTGGCGGCGGCGCCGAACAGCGCCCGGTTCAGGTAGTCGAGACAGCCGTGTACGGCGCAGCGGGCCGCCAGCCGCGCCTTCTCGCCCCAGTTGACGCCGTCGGCCAGCGCCAGCAGCGCGCTGTTGCTCCGACTCACCACGCCGAACGCGTCCGCGATCGGGCTACCTGTCAGCCGGCGGAGATGCGGTCAGGCTACCTGCCAGCCGGCGGGGGAGGCGGTCAGGCAGCCTGTCAGCCGGCGGGGAGGCGGTCAAGCTACCTGTCAGCCGGCGAGGAGGCGGTCAAGCTACCTGTCGGCCGACGGGGAGGCGGTCAGGTTACCTGCCAGCCGGCGGGGACGCGGTCAGGCTACCTGCCAGTCGGCGGGGAGGCAGTCAAGCTACCTGTCAGCCGGCGAGGAGACGGTCAGGCTACCTGCCAGCCGGCGGGGAGGCCGTCAAGCTACCTGTCAGCCGGTGGGGAGGTGGTCAGGCAGCCTGTCAGCCGGCGGTCAGCCCAGCACGCACCCCGCTCGGGCTCAGATCAGTACAAGAGTCACAGAATCCCCAAAGCGGCATACCGGGTCAAATGAGGTCCGATTCCGTCCTCTCAGCTTACAACGTTGTTGTTGCAGATCAAATACAGTAGGTGACATCGCGCTAAGCCACAGCAGACGCCGGATCTCCTGTATTATGGAATGCCGTGCCCTGTATTGTAGACGCCCAGGGGCCGCACGTGGTACCCGGAGGCGTTAACCACTCATGTACCACGTGAAAACCGGTCACGAGAAGACTGTACGGTACCAGCTGCAAATCGCTTGTCATAACCGGGCTCGTCACCCGCAAATGCGACGAAAATAAACAGACATAGTACCCCAGTCGTAGAGCGCTTGAATGACCACCGCAAGTTCGCACATTTGGAGTTTGGAGTATTGTATCACAGCTGACTCACAGCTGATATACACAGCTGATATATATATATATATATATATATATATATATATATATATATATATATATATATATATATATGAGCCTGCCAGGTCAGGGAGGTGATCAGGCTGCCTGCCAACACACACACACACACACACACACACACACACACACACACACACACACACACACACACACGCACGCACGCACGCACGCACGCACGCACGCACGCACGCACGCACGCACGCACGCACGCACACACACACACACACACACACACACACACACACACACACACGCACACGCACACGCACACGCACACGCACGCACGCACGCACGCACGCACGCACGCACGCACGCACGCACGCACGCACGCACGCACGCACGCAGACGAATGAGTCACGACCGGTGCAGTTTGAGCCAGCGCCGCCTGCTACCCCCATCCGCGGCAGGTCCGCCCGTCGGCAGGCACTCGTGTCACGTTACGTGAGCACGGCCGGTGACGTGGCAGCCATATGGCGAGCCAATTCAATAATGGGATCGTGGGGACGGACGGCCGGCGCAGTCCGCTGGCCGGCCCATTAACCCGAGTGGTTCTGAGCGCGCGGGCGCGCGCGTTGTATGAACATGCGGCAGCGACTTCGGCGCGACCAGCCGCGCCCATTGTGGCCCACCACAGCCGTACCTGCGTCTGCCCACTGGGCTCCCTATAAACGCATGGAAACGCCACGATCGTTAGTATGAACTGCATCGTTGTGGAAACCGGGACCTACGAGTTTTCTGAGGGATAAATTATACAAACCAGCAACAACAAGAAGTCGTAAAACACGAGCACAACCATTGGCGGCGCGCCGGCGACACCTCGCAGTACAAAGGTCGGAGCCTCAGCTGCTGGGAGGACACAGCAATTACGAAGAGTCCAAAACGAAAAGACAGAACTCGTCCGTAAAAGGCGTCATTTTTCCCCCCGAGACCTTAGCCTTGGCCCACTGCCGCCCCGCCCCAGCCGCGCGGCCGGTCCCTCACCTGCGTGTACGCCGGTCACCGGGTGACACTCGTACAGCGTCACCGAGCTGCCGAAGGCGCGGCCGTGCGGCCGGTTCCAGTTGACGGTGCCGGCTACCTCGTCCTGCTGGGTGCGCAGCAGACACTCGTCTGCCGACACGGACGCCGGTCAGCCGGGGCTGGCTCGGGACCGCTCGGCGATCAGCGCGGCTCTCCGCACGCCGACACGGCCAAACAGGGCGTCACAGGTCCGCTAACCCTCGCCAAGGCTGTGCAGGCTCGCTCGGCGCAGTGCTCAAAGCAAGTGCAACACAAGGACCCCTAAATCCGTAGTATATCACGAGCGCCATGTTGAATGGACACAGCCAACAGCAATGGCGAGCATTCACAGCAAATACTCCGGGCGCGCCATAACGCGTATCAACCGGCTGCATAGCAGTGACCAGAGTACCCATGCACGTTTAGAAGAATAAATACGGAAACGGCACTTTGCACCCGACCAACCACAACAGGTACTGTCCGTTACAAAGCTAATAAATGTGAAGGGGGTTGCTTAACTGTGCGACATAAGGCCGCCCGACTTGGGCTTAAGTGCAACTCAAGCGATTGCAATTACTTTCCAGTTCGTTTTGCGGACGCACTGAAACGGGTTCCTCACACGGGACCAGTGGAACGCGCTGACCAGTATCCCAACCACGAATTGGTGGCTGTTTGGGCATGCAACACAGAAATGTTCAGGTAACATCATGCCCATGTATACAATATCTCCCACACATACCAACAATATTGCCTTCACACGGATGCGCGGTAGTCGGATCTCCCACACGGATACACAGAACGTGCGCCTGGCATCTCAAGAAGACAACAATGGACGTCACGTAAACACGGCAGTGCACAGGCATTAGCAGGTGCTCATGCCTCTCGGAGATTAGCTGCTTTAAAAGGGCGAAACACTACGTGCAGTTTAGATAAACGGCCAGGCATCAGATCCAGCAGATAGGGAGAGGGTGAAATTGCATCACAGGTTGAGTTCAAGTGACGGATACTTTGCAATATTCAGCATGTTTAAGAAGCTGCTTTATAGGTCAACTCACAAAATCGAGGGTACAATCTTGGGAGGATATGTGGCGTAGCAGTCAGCACAGGACGTAGGGTGAACAAGATATGGGGGTGTAAAATAATACCCAATGTCCAGCAAAACCCATCGCTGGATCTGTTCCTTCCAAGGTCACTGACTGTATTTCACCCGAAAGAATACTACTCTAGGCTAGCGATAAGCTAAGAAATGTATTAGCTGCGCCACATCGAAAAGTACGCGTGTAAAGTTGTGATGAGTGAAGTACAGGTTTCTACGATGTCCCAAAATTGTGGTCCACAAAGCGACATGCAAACAGAAACGAACGGCAACTGCAGCCACCCGCAGCGACTGAGAAGACTGCAGTCATACTATGCAGCTAAGCTTCCAGCCTGCCGCGAAGTTCGCTCGCCGAACGAAGACACGCCCGGGCGCGCCGCCCAACAGAAGCCCGGTGCCAGAGCCGTGCGCGGCGAGAAGCGCGGTCCGAACGGCGTCACTGCCGGGGCCAGCGCGGCCAGGCGGCGGTGGTGTGCACGGCGTGCAGCGGCCGGTCCGGCGCGGCCCCGCTTACCAGCCCGCGTGTACCGATGGTAGGGCGGCAGGCGCTCCGAGCCACCGTCCGACTCCGAGCCCGAGTCGGCTCGCTCGGCTAAACGGCCGCGGTCCGGCGTCGAGCGCGCCGCCGATGACCTGCGGGAGCCGGCGGCGGGGGCGGGGGCCGGGGCGGGGGCGGGGGCGGGGGCGGGCGCGGGGACGGGGACGGGAGCAGGGACAGGGGAGGCAGCGGGGACGAGGACGTCCTGGGCGGCGGCGGGACGGTCGCTCGGGTTCGAGAGTTGTTCACTTCCCTGGAGGGACCGCTGGTCGGCGTCGCCCGCCGGAGCCGGGGGTGGCGCAGAGGCGGCCGTCGCCACCCGTGCAGAGTCGCCGCCGGCGTCTGACACGTCAGTCACCATGTCTAAGACGATGCCAGTCGGCTGACCCGTCTCCGAGCCCGGCTGCATCGGTTCCAGCTGTGATGCCGCCGACGCGTCGCGAGCGAGCGGTCCTTCTGCCCGACCGCCGGGCGACGATCCCCCGGTGTCGGGGGGTCGGCACACGTCAGACGCGACAGTGGAAACCGCGCCGCTGTCAGATGCGTCGCCGCCGTCAGCCAGCACCGCCGTCTCAGACTCCGGGTCGCTTGCGTTGCTGCAGGCGGCCGCCGGGCATGCCACGAGCGACGGACTCTGTGGCGCGTCCGACAAGACTCCGTTTCCGGCGACTGACCCATTAACCCCTGAGTTGGGTAACACGGCTGGGACACTGTCCGTCGGTGAGCACGGCTCCTCAGCTGGAAATGAAACGTGGGTGGCTAGCTCCGGCTCGTCGGTCGTCCAGTCGATCGCGTTCGTCGGGGTCTTGCAGTCGTCCGCGCGGCCCGGCGAGTCAGGGTCCTCCAGCCCATCCTCGTGCCACGCCGGACTGGCTGCCGCTCCTGACAACGGCCCGGCCCCGTCACCCGGGGCGTCCGCCGTCCCAGACGGCCCCGACCCGCCAGTGAGCGACGAAGCAGCGTCCGCGGCGGGCGACGCGCCGTTCTGCCGGCCGCCGTCGCCGGTGGGCGTGGCGGCGTCCAGCCCGTCGGCGGCCGGCAGCGAGTGAAGCGATGCGGCGGCGCGCACGCTCTGCGGCCCGGCGCCGCTCAGGTTCGGCAGCGAGTCGCTGTTGGTGCTGCACAGCGACGTCATCATGGTCTGCAGCAGCTCGTCCTCGTCGTCTAGCTGGTGGTCGCTGAAGCAACGGCGCGCCGGCAGCGTCTGCGACTTGCAGCGCTGCAGGTCGCCCAGACGGATGCGGTACCAGCAGGGGTCGGGCACGGGCGGCGAGCGCGGCACCCACGGCGGCAGCGTAAGGTTTCCGGCCAGCCGCTGGCGCGGGTAGTGCAGCCGCGCCAACCGCGCCGCCAAGCACGTACCGTCGGCCGGCGCCTCGTCGGCCGATGACTCGTCCGAGTCGATGTAGTTGATGCCGGGCTCGTGGGAGGTGACCGGCTGCGGCCGGTGCGCGACGGCCGTCAGGCCGCCGGCCGGGCCCGTGTAGGCGGCGAACACGGTCGGCTGCAGCGGCGCCAGCGGCAGGTCGGGCAGCTGCGCCGCCTCGCGGCCGTGCTCGATCGCCACCTCCGAACGTACCAGCTCCCTGAGCACGGCGGGACGCGCGGCGTGAGAGCGTGGAGTCGCATAGTAGGACAAGCGACGTCCAGAAGTCACCCAGCGGGACACGCCGCGTCAGGGCGCAGAGAGCGTCGCAAAGCGGGACACGTCAGGGCGCAGAGGGCGTCGCACAGCGGGACACGTCAGGGCGCAGAGAGCGTCGCACAGCGGGACACGTCAGGGCGCAGAGGGCGTCGCACAGTGGGACACGTCAGAGCGCAGAAAGCGTCGCACAGTGGGACACGTCAGGGCGCAGAGAGCGTCACACAGCGGGGCACGTCAGAGCGCAGAAAGCGTCGCACAGTGGGACACGTCAGGGCGCAGAGAGCGTCACACAGCGGGGCACGTCAGAGCGCAGAAAGCGTCGCACAGTGGGACACGTCAGGGCGCAGAGAGCGTCGCACAGCGGGGACACGTCGGGGCGCAGAGAGCGTCACACAGCGGGGCACGTCAGAGCGCAGAGAGCGTCGCACAGCGGGACACGTCAGTGCGCAGAGAGCGTCGCACAGCGGGACACGTCAGGGCGCAGAGAGCGTCGCACAGTGGGACACGTCAGAGCGCACAGAGGGTCGCACAGCGGGACACACGACGTCAGAGCACAGAGAGGGTCGCAGATATGGCCGGGCCTACATGGAGGTTTCATGGTGCATTAGATAACAAGGAGTAGCGTAAGAGGGCAGTCACAGCAACAACGTACCAGGCCGAGCCTGGTATGTTGTTGACCCCATTTGCACTATCACCAAGAGCAAAGTCACAAGTTATAAACATGTACCTTCTAACAACTAATACCTTCTAGCAGTATGAGACATCAATACATTTAAGCAATATGGAATGTGAATGGCTAAAGCATTGGGCAGTACTGCCACTTAATGTTCTTTCTCTGTGAAATGGGAGGAGTTTCATGAAGAGCATAACCAATTCTGACTCTGTGTGTGTGTGGGAGGTACGATACGCAATTCAAGCAGGGGTCCCACAAACTGATAGCACAACTTACTGGGAAAATGATACCATAAGTGGACTGTGATGATGACCTGTATGGTTACATACCATGGTTTCATGGATCAGCTACCACCAGACTTCACTGGCACTCCATGGATATAGAAGACTAAATATAAACACCTGCATGACATCTCAGGTGCAATGCAGAATGCCACATGGTGAAAGCCAGGACATGTTTGCAGTTAAGCTTACCAAAAAAGTATCTGTAATACAATAAGCACCTCACTGCACATAATCAACAAAACAAAATGTTAGTGTTGTTTGAAATGTAAGCTTATGGTACCAGGACAACTTGCAGAGGCGAGTAGAAAAATATTCATAATGCTAGGGGGCTCTCAATGTGGGGGTGTGGACATGCCCCAAATTGTTCATTTAGTGCCCAATTTTGTCATTCAGAATGTTCAAATGTTCCAAAATGGACCAAATGTTAAAAGACCCTGAATTGCTCCATTAGGAGCTTTGATGCCTTCACTTGCATTCAAAAGAGTTAGGGGATAGCTTCCCAGTCTTAAAATCTGTGCAATGTCAACAACAGGGTTGTAGCAGGGGAACCTTTAAAGTTAACAAAAAGAACAGAACACATTAAAATAAGATTTAATTCAAACACAGCAGAACCAGATAACATTCTTTACATGCAACACAGAAGTATATTATTGAGATAAAGTGCCAAATGGAACCATTGATATAGCTCATATTTTTTCAACTAGGTGGCCTGCTCCTTAAAAGAAATGAAATGCTTTCTGACAATTGTAGGAATGCAAACTAATGGGAAATCTTTCAAAGTGTGACTGTGAGCTGTACAATGCCAATGTATATTTTCATCAAGGATGTTAAAAAACCATGCCTATTATATCAGGCTGGGAAAGAGATGCCCAGCAAGATCCCTGTCATATGCTGTTCCTTTATTAATTGCATTTTGCTATATCTTGGCATGAAAGCTAGCAGTCCTGTGACCATACACAAGCCACTATCATTTTGGAGGAAGACTGTGGAGAAAAAGTGGGCTGAAGAACTATTTCCTACCATGAAATCCTTCCTTCCACCACCACAAGCCTGCCCAAATTTCTCATTCCCTTTTGCTTCTTTGTACATAACAATTTATAAAATGCTTCTTTAGATGCATGGCCTAAGTGGGCATTGTTGACAAGGAATACCAATCTCACAATGTTGATATTGAGCATTTAATGCTTGATTATTGGGAGCAATATCTACATGCATTGTGTGCTAAATAGGGTATGCCAGCATACAAACTTTTTAATTAATTACTGGACACAGAGTCACCAGACCTAGTTGTTTCCCTGTCTCAAAAAATTCATCCACTAACCTGGATGTTAACATGACATTGGTATGCTGAGCCTAGGGTATATGTAGTGAACTCAGCCCAGGAAAAATAACACTGAATGTTCAACTGCTTTTGGTTAAACACCTATTTAGAGGTATTCATAAGGCTTAAAATCCCCTCAGCAATACAACAATTTCTTCAAACATCCTCTAGGCTATTCATGAACTGAACTTGATCACCACCATGCACTGACATTGGTGGCCACCATATACCAAATGATGCAGCATGTCCAAACTAATAATGATTTGCTTATTAATTTGATGGCCTCATATACAACCCCTTTATCTTACATGTAATGAAATTCCCCTGCATCCTTAAGAGGACTATCAAAATTGCCAACACAAGCACCCATGCCTAAGGGAGACAGTATCTACAAACAGGCACAGGACATTATGCTAGCACAAGACCAGTCTGCAAAATGAAAAAAATAATCTGCTGTGCAGGATGTCTAAACAACATTGGTATTTTGAACTTTGTGCCTATGCACATTAAACTCAGACAAGGTCAAATTACACTGAATCTTCAAGTCATTCCAAAAGGTAATTATTTTTTTCCTGAAATTAATGCACACCACCATAATGAATTGAAGCAATACCCACACATTCACTAAAATGCACCAAACACAGAGCTCTCAGATTTACAGTGTACATGCTCAGCAATCATTTCAGTGGTGTGTGCTGATTGCACATCATTGAAATTGGATTGGAAATTGGATTAATCACTAATTAAAGTAAGAAGTATTTAACCAGCTTATGCACAACCTATCAAACCAGTGATGCTTTTCAATAATGATCATACAAAAACGATACCATCAGTAAGCTGGTAAACTGTACTTACCCATTAAGATACTTTGTAATAAAGCACCCATTAGTGCCACTATGTAGGTCAGCAACAGATTTTTCAGCAGCAGTGCATTGACTATTGCTGGATATCTGTCTCAAAAACCCAGTGAAACGCTTCTTCATATTTGATGGCATGGTGATATGATTTAGTTTTACATTCAATTAACTTTTGAGCCGTTTCGCGTTCAATAATAATTCGCAAGACAAAAGAGCATAGGTAATTAGTCCAAATTTATATCGTCAAATGACCAGCCGTCAGGAATGCACTGGATTTATGCGATGTGTTTTCAAGCTCACACGCAGCTCCGTCTTCTCCCATTACACCTCTGGCACATACCACCTCACATCAACACACAAAGATTGACATTCACGCCCACCCCACGGCACACCGCGGCAGCCTCGCAGCCCTTCACCAACAAACGCGGTGGACTGCGGCGCATAAGTCGTGACTGCGGTATATATGGCTTGTTGAAATATGGGAAGGTTTTCTGGTCGGCAGAAAAGTTTTATGCAACCTCTTTTTGCAAATGCAAAATGAGATAACCACGCGCAAATTCCGCGCAACGTCAACGGCATACCGTTAGTGCAGTGCTTTCCGGCACAAAATTAGTTCGGGCTGGATTTTACGATTCCTGCAGGCATACCAATGACTTGAATTTGTGGAAGTAGTGGGGCAATTGACTCGCAATTAATTGTACTGTGTCCAACGGCGTAGCCATGGGGATTGAGTTTCGAGGCAAGGCGTCCCCTTCTCTGGTGGTGGCGCGGGCACCCTAGGCCAAATACACCAGTGATCTTGAGAGTTTCAGACTACCACAGGACTTCTAAACCATCACAAACGGGCCCCGATGCATGAAAATGGAATTCGGAGCCTAAAAAGTTCCCGAAAACGGGGGGGGCTTTATGGCGATAAAGTGGCAGGGGCAGATCCAGGGGGCGGGGGCACGGGGCCATGTCCCACCCCCTCTCTCGAGCTCGATAGGGCCCATAGTCGGCTGAACAGGCGCAGTTTTTTAAATGACAAAACGCAATAAAATTGGACGTCTTTTGGGTTCCAGGCAACCAAGAATAGTCGCAAGCGGAAGTGCAGGGCCCACGAGCGGACAAAAATGATTTTTGCTGTGAGAGGGTGGTGATTAAGAGATTGTAAGGCTTATTACGCCGCCCAGATGTCCTCCGCTGTTCCTGGGGGCCCTATCCGTCGACTAGCAAGGCAAATTCAGTTGCTTGGGAACCCTCCAAGTTGCTCCTGAAGTATTTACATTTGCTCGGAGGACCCCGCGCTGTTGTCCGGGCCCCTTATGCTGGCATGCTGGGGAGCCCGTCGATCAGAGGCCCTCCATTAATCCTTCTCATTCGCCCGAAAGGCTCTACATGCTGAAGCCGTAGCCTCGTATATCAAACTGCTGGGGTTTTCTACATTGACCACGGGCCCTTCATGTTGGTTTTTGTTAACCTACCGACACACTCGCGACATGCTCATGGACCCTCTCCATTGACCTGGGCCCTTCCAATACACTGCCACTTGTGGAGGGCTCCACGCTCTAGTCGGGATCTTCATGTGTTAACCTGCTCGGGTTATACCTTTCTTGATCAGAAACATGATTTGTGACCGACATCATAAGTCCAAAAACAAGAGAAGCCCAAAAACCATGAAGCACACCGAAGGCATTCCATATTATCATAGTAATCACGATAACTTGGGTCGTTGTGATTGCCGACACCCAAGTTCATATTTGAGGACGTTATTTATCGGTCAAACAAAAAACAAGTACTTTCAACACACGCATTACGAACTGTCTGCAACCAACGCCGAAAGTATGATCATTGGTTTATTTGAACAATCGGGAACGGCCATTACTGAATTATTATACCACCTGCGGAAGGAATTCAAGATCCCAGGCCGCACTAGGGCGCATGACAAAATAATGCACACCATAAGTTGAGGAACACTCCTGCTTACTGTTATCTCACCCAACTATGCACTGACATCCACACATGCCGCACACCTACGTCAGGGCCAGGACCGTTTAGATCATGTAAACATCGTTCACACAATGCACTGGATTGACGTGTATTCTTGGTCAGTAAAACAATGTCACAAGCACTGCCTGTTATACAATGCCCATAACAAATGTCCTGCAACTCTGACTGACATGAAACAACCCTATGAAAAACGAACTACGTACGCAACTATGTAAATGTGACGCTGCTCTGCATCTGGGAACATCATCATATAAAAAGTACTGCGTGCCTAGAACAAACAATCCCACAGCCTTAGCCGCGAAGCCGTAATCACTAAATTCCTCGCGCAAAGGCAACTCAGATGACCCCGCCTCACATTCCGTCCCAGCACTGCACACGCGCGGAGCATCAACCGAACTCGGCGTCCGAGTCCAGGTCCATGTCAGAGTCTGTGATGGTGCTGCCGGCGGGCCACGAGGCGACGCCACCGTCGCCACAGCAGTCCTCCGGCGAGCTGGCTGGGCGACCGAGCAGGCTGCGACCGTGGTCGACCGTCACACAGGCGTCCCGCGCAGAGCGCAGGCCGAACTGGTCTGTGGAGAGAGGGGTGCTGAACACTTTGCCAGACGGGCAGAAAGCCTGTGGGCGGAAAGCTCCCGGTAACGTCGGGACAGACTGTGGGAAGGAAGACTGCCCCAGTGACACTGGGGCAGTCTGTAGGAGAAGAGCGCCTAGTGCCGTTGGGACAGTCTGGGAGGAGAACTCCTAGTGATGTCGGAAGGACTGTGGAAGGAAAACACCTAGTGACGCCGCGACAGTCTGTGAGAGGAGATCGTCCGGTGACGCCAGGACACTCTGTGGGAGGACAGCACCCAGTGACACAGGCAGCCTGTGAGAACCGAACGTCCGGTGACGCCAGGACACTGTGGGAGGAGAGCGCCCAGCGACACTGGGACAGTCTGTGAGAGGAGAGCGTCCGGTGACGCCAGGACACTCTTTGGGAGGAGAGCACCCAGTGACATTGGGACAGTCCGCGAGAGGAGAGCTCCTATTGGAGCTGGGACAAACAGTCGGTTCGTGGCTGCAAGGGCAGGAGCACGTCGAGCTTTGAGGTAACAGTTGGAGCATACACACAGCGGACGGCGAACGCAGTGCCCGTTTAGAGCTGACGAGGGGCAGCAAGCAGTCGGGATGGAAAACAGCTAGCTTCTAGAACGGCCCAACCGCAGCCAACCATCGAAATCAGTTCGAGACTCACCTGAACGCTTCTTGGCCGAAGACGAGGACCAGGGGATCAGCTGTTGGTGCAAGACATCCAGCCGCGCCTGCACATCACCCGGCGGAGGTGAAGGATCGTCAGGTCGTCTGAGCGGGTCAGTCGAGGTCAGCCACCCCCTCAGAACATCAGCTTTTGCCTGGAGCGGGGGCGAGCTCGATGGGGGGCCAGACGCCGGGGTCGGCGGCTGGATCCCAGCCACACACCAGCTCAGTTCAGCCGCCTCCTTCTCCGGTGAGGCGGTCCGACGCCGCGCCGTCCAAACACCCCACACCAGACCCGGTCCCACATCACGTCCCTTCCCCGGCGCCGGGGACGACTGACTAGGCCGCACCGGCGGCTCGGCCCCGGCCATGGCGTCCAGCGAAGCGAAGTGCCCGGAGCGCACGGACGTCCCTGACTCACTGCTGGACGTCATGGGGAAGTCCGAGGCACCACTGGCCAGGCCGACGTCTGCCGGTACAGAAATGGCCGCCTGCGACAGGAGACGAAACGCAGGTTCACAACAGCTCTATCGCTGAACATAAAACAATTAAAAACGCTCAGCCACCTGATTTTTCTGGACTGAAGATACTGGAATCGCTAAATCCGCACGTCACACACTTCGGTGCGCCACTCTGGGAGCGCGCTCATCAGCCCGCAGTCACGTCACGCCACTGACCGTCCTCGGGTCGCGGAGCGCGGCCGTCGGAGAGCCATCTCTGGAAGTCGGCATGGGGCGCGGCGGGTGGCCGGCGTCGGCGCGCCCACGCAGCCGGTGACCGTGGAAGCGGCGCGGCGCGGCGCTGGCGGTCGGCGCCGGCGGCGGCACCGCGCCGCTCACCTCACACAGCGGCCACGCCGGCCCCGTCTGTGTGCCGACGCCCACCCCGCGGCTCAGCATCGTCTGCATGGCGGCCGGCCGGGTCCGGTGCGTCAGCAGTCTGGCAGGCGGCGCCGCGCGCCACGGCCGGCTCCGTCTGTACGGCCGCGTGCCGCGCACTGAGCGGGCCCGCGGCGGTCTGCGTGGCCGACTCTCGCGCAGCAGGCGGGCCCGGCCCGGCCGGTGCCTCAGTCTGGGTCGCTTTGGTGCCGAAGCCGATGGGCTGGTACACGTCGTTGAGAACGGCCCATGCATCAAACAGGATTTTCACATGCTTTTCCTTGTCTAACAGAGAGGCCTTCACCACTAAGGTATGGTAAATAATCTGGAAAATGGCCCAGGTGATGCTGAGGGATGAGAAATGGACACACAACTGTCAATGAAACCAACAATGTGAATGCTGCACATTCCCTTCTTCAAAATTTCATTAAACGGCTATAAGATTTAGCAACACCTAGCAAATACTTAAAAGGCAATTAAGGGGCAGCATTTAGGACAGTAAACACAAGCACAACAGATTCTGCCTACCCCAGCAGCAATCAACCAATTCAGGGATGAGTTCACATCTAGTGACAATACTCAAAAGATATAATTTTTAATCATACTGGAACTCCCAAGGATAATTGCCTTCCTTGTATACAGCTTTCATATAACATTTGTGTTCTCAACTGCATTATAGTTCATGATTCCAACTCTTCCATGGCACATTACAACACAAACTGGGTGCATCACACATGCCAAGCAAGGTAACTTTCAGTGTAAATGAATATCAATTTGATTGTTTTCTGGGTGATATATGTCTAATTTGCATAAGTTTATCTGCATATTCATTCTAACACTGCTTGCTGGGCTGTCCCATTTTATTTTTGTCTCATGTTTGGATCCAAGGATTTCCTTCTGCTATATCATGCATGTCATTTACCATTTCACTAATGGTTACAAAGCTGTGATATTTTTCCAAAGCATCATGGATTCATAAATGAGCACACCTCAGCCAGGGTTGCCATGCTGAGGTCATGTGGCAGAGCTATGGGTCCAGGAGGCAGCTCTGTCTCCCCAAGTAGGTGCTGGTAGCATTCTTGAATTCCTGGCATCACCAGGGCCTGCAATGAGAGGCTCAAGTAAACTGAAAAAGCTGAAGTTTTATAGTGCAAGATGCTGCTAATCACAAGAAATGACAAATTAGCTACAAGAAACTATGTACATATATATATATATATATATATATATATATATATATATATATATATGAGTTCACCTGGTGCAATGCACAAGTGATGCACCATGTAGAAGGCAACTAAATTTCTGACAATTCATGGTGACAAGCCACATGGCATCGACAAAACTCTCCCAACTTATTCACCAGTATCTAACAACCTAAGGGATTTTATACGCAAACCTGCGATTGCCTCCAGGAGAACCTACTCGGGGTCAGTGCCGCACAACTCAAGGCTGCGTGAGGTAACCTACTTATCTTATATGGAATGTTAAACGATATAGAATGTGTCGGGTCAGCGTCATGTTCGCAATCGAATTCCGCGCCGTCCCTTTTTCTGTGATTTATCTAGCGATTTGTACAGCGAAGAGTTCCTATTTCGACGAAAACTGAATCAGACGGTCAGATACAACACAACGCCGAAACTGATGTGTGTTCCACAAATTGAAACAACCTTAAAGGTAAAATCAAAGCCAAAATGACCGAAAACTGCACGAAACTGAAGAGCTGCAGGTGGCTTTCAGAACTTGAAGCATCAGTCACCAACGCGCAAAATAACGTCGTCTTAAATTCAGGACCTCGCAATGTTGCCTTTCAAGGTAAAATTTAAGATAAAATAGCGGGAAACTCAAGATCACTCACAAATTTCCAGGCGATTTTTGGAGTTTTAAGCACCAGAATATTTATCAAGCCCATAAACAAGCGTCTGTCCAACAGTTGTAACTCTCGAGGTTATTATTCAAAGCAAGTGACGAGCAACTCCGTAACACCCAAAACGTAATTACTAGTTTCGGAATTTTGAGCATCAGGATGGTCTTCAGGTCATAAATAAGTGCATTTCAAAACAATCCTGAATTGCCAAGGTCACTCTTCCACGTCAAATGGCGAAAGTCCATATCCAGTAGCGCAGACATGAGGGCCATAAGGGCCCGATTTTGCGGCCCGAACGGCCCGAAAGGCCGTTCCGAGGTCATATTCAAGGCTCCGTTGCGGCATGGGCCTGAGGACCCCTTTCCCAAGCAGGGATAAAGCCGAAGCCAGCGATTTACATTGTTCGGGGCCACAGCGTCTGTCAGGGCTCCCCAGCGCCTGACGAGGGCCCTGTGTTTGCAAGGGGTCCCGAGTCTGCCACAGGCAGTGTTGGAGGAGGCCCGAAGAGCCTGGAGGGCCCACCAGGTCCGGCGATCAAGGGCACGATTTGAGGGTCTAAGGGCACGAAGGGCTGGTCAGAGTCTTAGTCAGGGGGCCCGGCCTGCAGGGACGAGGCCTCAGTTGGTCTGCCGTGAGGCCTCAGTTGAGTGCCTCACGAGGCACTCAAGGGGTCGTTTGCACCGGCTTGCACCGGCTTGCACCCCTTAAGTCGATATGGGCCTACTATGTCGGTCAAGCACCACCATTTCTGCGCAGTCGGCTCCGTGTCGGTTTGGGCTGAGGGCCCAAAAAACAATGATAGAGTACGACTGAATGCAGGCGGGGGGTCAGAGAGTAACGGTTGCACGTCAACCGTTTAAAAATAGTTACAATCGCGCGCGGAGTGAACCATCACGCATATTTGATAACATACACGCCTTCGTCTCATTATTGAACAGTGCGAATTAAATATCGCAAGCGTCATCTCACAAGGTCATTCTCCCGCGGCTGGGCCTTTTCGCCTACTATTAACTGCAGCGGCCAACGCCTATCGATGCGGCGAGAACTGCAACGCCAGGCATAGGTGTTTTTGCTCTGAAAAAAATGCGAGCGCGCATTCTCAAAATGTATGTAATCTAATTTATTGTTCTAGTCGTTTCTGAAAAAGGGAAACATGTCATCAGGCAAACATGGGTATGTTGTAAATGAGTCAACAGATCATGACAACAGATTAAATCCGCCAACAGATGAGATCCTCCTCACATCACAGGAGGAGCCTAAGGCCAATGTGGAGGCTTCGGAGCTATCAAGAGTGCCCCCAGCCGATAAACTCGGGTGGGGGTGGGGTGTCATTGCCCCCTCCCTCCCCCGAAGGTTTTTCCATAATAGCTTCCGAACGGCGCGGCGTAGCTGCGTCAAATGTTGCATAGCTGTAGACAATTGAATGGCGGATCGTTTGGCATCAATAATTTGGATGTACGTTGCAAGCTCGTTGACCTATGGCGAGTCAAAGTCAGGTCATGGTTTCAGCGAAGGCAATTTCTAGGGAGTCATCCAATCTGATGCAATAACGGAGTCATTGACGAAGCCATACATCTCTGAGATGCTTGCTTAGAGGGCAGGGTCCCGGGCTGTGTAAGCTGTTGGAGGCCAGTAGGAGTGACGTACTGTATGGCTTCGAATACATAACATTTTTGAGATCCGCTAGCTCCTTCTTACAAGATATTTCGGCGCATGCGCTCAGGATGGCGGAACTTGGGAATTTGGACTTGAGAATCATTCCGGAGTTCAGTGGCCAGGAATCCGTTGTGGAGTGGCTCGATAAAGTGGACCTAGTGTGCAGACTGAAACGAGTAAGTGACCTGCAAAACGTGATCCCTCCGGCTCACTGGTGGGGCGTTCAGCGTGTACCAGCAACTTTCCGATGAGGATAAGCGGAAGCCGAGCGAGGTAAAGGACGGCCTGATCACGGCTTTCGCCGTCGGCAAATTTGCTGCATACGAGAAATTCGTCCCTAGGCGTCTCAGAGAGGGCGAAGTCGTCGACGTCTTCCTTGCAGACTTACGCAGGCTGGCCAATTTGTTTGGCGGTTTGTCTGAGACGAGGTTGATCTGCGCCTTCGTGGCTGGCTTGCCAGAGACCGTGCGGCACGCGCTGAGGGCCAGCACGCGCGTGGAGGCCCTGGGCCTGACTGAGGTGCTGGGCCGGTCACGCGCCCTGGTCGCGGAGGAGTCGGCAGCGGCGGCGTCGGCCGCTGCGGCTACGGCGGGCACAGCATCTGCACCGAGCAATGGGGTCGGCTTCTCACGCCGAGGAGCGCGCGGCGGCGGCCACGCCCAGCAGCCGGCATCCTGCTTCCACTGCGGCGAGCGCGGCCATCGGGCTCGCTGGTGCCAGCGCGACATCGTCTGCTTCAGGTGTAGACAAGAAGGTCACGTAGCGGCCCGCTGCCCGGGAAACAAGGGAGGCGTGGGCGCCAGTCTTCTCTCCGTGGTCGGCGTTGGTGCTCTCCCAACTCGGCAACTACGCGTTAACGGATCCGTCTGCATGGTGCTGGTGGACACAGGTTGTTCCCGTAGCCTCGTGCACGCCTTGTTGTGCCGAGACTGACGGAGGAACGCGTTAGCGTGCTCACAATGAACGGCAACCGGTTTCTATGCGCGGTTAGCGGACCGGCGTGTGTACAGGTCGAGTGTGGCGCGCGCGCTGACGTCAGCGCTTTGGCGGTAACTGCCAGGCCTCTGGGATTTAGTGTGGTTTTGGGCATGGACGCGATCAAAGCGTTGGGTGGCGTCACTGTTTCTTCGGCAGGGTCGCAGTTCGGTGTCGAGTCAGACTGCACTGCCGTGGCAACCGGCACGGCGGAAGTGGAAGCGGCAGACTTTCGCGCGCGTTACGATCAGGAGAGAGCGACAGTGGTGGTGGACGAGCGCGGGAAATCTACGGGCAGCGGCATTGTGGAGTTTGCCAAGAAGCCATGTGCACTCCACTATCTGAAGAAGTGTGCAGAGAGTAGCTTTTTCTTGACTGAGTCTCTATGCTCAGTGGAGGTGGAGCCTCTGAATGAGGACGACGTCGAGGAGGGACTGTGCAAGGATGTACTGCCCAAGAAACACCACGAGTACATGCGCGAACGTTCAAACGGCCCCCGGCTGGACCATGCCCGGCTCGTTCGAGATGGAGTACGGCAACCGCTGGAAGCAGCTGTACGAGATGGAGAAGCAGCGCCGCGAGCAGCTGGAGCAGGAGATCAAGAAGGAGATGGACAAGCTGCGCGACGAGATGGAGTTCGCGCGCCGCGAGCACGAGACGGAGATGCTGCTCGAGCAGCTGCGGCGGCGCGAGATGGAGCAGGAGCGCTCCAAGGGCGACTTGGACGTGCGTCAGCAGCAACGTGAGGAGGAGCGCCGTCGCCTCCAGGAGGAAATGCAGCGCTGCCGGGAGACCTTGCGGTCGCGTATGCGCCAGTCGGAGGAGGATGTGAAGCAACGCCAGCAGGAGAACCAACTGTTCATGCAGGCCGACGAGCTGAGCAGTCTGCTCGACCAGCAGGAGCAGGCGATCTGGGATGACGGCAGCGCGGCGCCGCCGGCCGTGCTGGATACCGGCTACGGTGATATTTGGGGCGGCCAAGACGCCGGCTTCAGCCGGCACGGCGTGCCACCTCCGGGCATGGGCGGTCACGGGGGTCGTGGTGGACGCGGCGCGGCACAGGTGGCCGGCATGGACATGGCGGGTTCAGCCCGCGCGGTCGCGGCGTGCCGCCATCTGGCTACCGCGGCGGCCGCGGCGGCTTCCGCGGCACTCCGCGCGGCGGCGGTGGCCCTGGCCGCCCCGGTCGCCCATGGACGACGAATTGGAGTTCCCCAGCAAGCGCCCACGCGTCTTTTAGGCGGCGACGGCAGCCACGACTGCCGATAGGGAGAGTGACCGGCTGGTGGGGAGAGGCCGGCGGTGTACAGCGGCGGGCGCACGGAGGGGGAGAGGGACTGGAGATCGGGCGTGGATGCGTGGGAGCTCAGGCATGCGCGGATCTGTCAGCAGTGTCAATCCGTCGACCCCGCCCCCGTACGATGGGAACGGGGCGAGCTGTCAGTGAGTGACAACTGGCGGCGACTAAGTATGGATATAACTCACACCGGCGCTGCGCACTATCTTACGATCGTCGATTGCGGACCGTCAAGGTTCGCTGTGTGGCGACGTCTGAGGAGGCAAGACAGCGCCAGCGTCATCGAACAGCTGGAGCAGGTGTTCCGTGAAAGAGGAGCACCGACGGAACTGTTGACCGACAACGCGACAGTTTTCCGCAGCCACGCTTTTGGAAAATATGCGGAGCAGTGGGGTGTCGTGATGCGGTTCCGAAGTGCGCATCAGACATCCGGGAACGGCTTAGTGGAGCACTGTCACTGTATGGTGAAGAGGATGGTGGCCCGCACCAGCTGCCCGTGCTGGACGCCGTGTACTGGTATAGCGTCACGCCTATGGACGACGTGAGCACCGGTACGGCGCCGGCGAACGTTCTCTACGCGCATGAGGTGGAGTCCGCGGCATTGACAAGAACGAGCACGATCCCGGGGCCGTGACATGTCGATTCAGTGTCGGCGATCAGGTGTGGATTCGCGACCCGAGTCGCAGATGCGACGCTCCTAGCGCGACTGGAACCGTGACCCGCGTGGTATCGCCTCAAACTGTAAAGGTAGACGGGATGCCACGTCACGTGCGTGACTTGCGAGCAGGCGGCGCCCCGACGCGTGTAACGCCACCTGAGGAGACCGGACCGAGTACTCAGGTAGGCGATGAAGACGCCGACGACTGCGGCTGCTGGCTGATACGGCGGGGAGGCGACAGCCAAGTCGAAGCGCCGCCGGCTGCGGCGGACAGAGCAGTCCGCGACGAGACGCAGGAGGAGGCAGCGGGCGATCCCCCGAGGAAGAAGAGGGGGTCTACATGGGAGAGGAAAGAGAGGGCACTCCCGCCGAAGAGCCCAGCAGCAGTCGCCGGCTGGTCAGACCACGCGTCTGCGACTTGTGCGACGAGCGTTGATCCACTCTGCGGCGTTCGCGCAGGATCTGGGGGGGAGGGGGGGGGAGAGTGAGCTGTTGATTGAGTTTGCGATCGGGGATCAGGGGTATGGTGAAGGGAAACCTTCATCTGGTGCGGAAGCGGCGGTGGCGGAAGCGGCGAAGTGGACGCAAGGGGCGAGGAACAGCAGAAGCAAAACGTTTTTGGCGAGAGGAGTGTCGGGGAGGGAGAAACGGCGAGGGGGCGCGTAGCTTAGAGGGCAGGGCACCGAGCTGTGTACGCTGTTGGAGGCCAGCGGGAGTGGCGTGCTGCGTGGCTCAAACACATAGCATTTTGAGATCCGCTAGCTGCTTCTTATACTTAGGCACCACAAATATTGAACAAGCAACTTATGTTGACCTAAGGTCAGGTATGAAGGTCAGGCTAAGGTCACAACCTACCTGATTTAGTACTCTAGGGCTTGCTGTATGGGATAGTTTGTGGCACTCATTTCAAATTTATTGACAGCATGAACCGCATTACGCATCTTCCATAGACTTCTTAGAGTTCATAAAAGGTCATTGACCTAAGATGACCCAGGGCGACATTTTGTTTTAGTGACATACTGCCCAGCGCTTATTCAGATGCAAAACTCAGAGCAGTCATGTATAATTTTGTCACAATTATCTTCAAAAGGTCAAATGAGGTCACCGACCTCAAATGGGCTTTTGACCTTTACCTTAAAAACAGTTGCCTAGGGTCTGGGGGCACTTCAAAGACCAACCTGGAATTATACTTTATTTGACCTTATTTGACCCGAAGGTCATGACCTAGGAAGCTCAAACTTGTACTTAAGTGACTTCACGTACAGGTCATGACACTGTAAATTTGGTGTCTCTAGCTTTCTTAGTTCCCGAGATCTCAGGGGGTCATATTGCCCCACCCCCCACCCCCCACCCCCCCGAGCGAATGGCATCTAGCCGGCCACCTGGACGCGTGTTAACCTGACGGGACCCCGCGAACAACGAAGGTCTTCCGGTAGAATGGGAAAGCCGGAGACCAATCAGGACGGCACCTGAGGGATCAGGGGCACCGCGACAGGTAAAAAAGGAGACTGTCGTCAACAGTTATGAGTCCCCCAAGCGAACGGGAAGAACCCAAAACCAATGTGGTGAGGCTCTGAGCGACCAGAGTACTCCTGCAGGTTAACATATAGGACCCCGGCCGGAGTGCAGAGCCCTCCGAAAAAACGGAAAGGACCCAATATCAATGAGGCCAAGGCCGTTGCGCGATCGAGAGCGCCTTGGCAGATGAACATATAGGGGCTCCGACAACAGCGTAGGGTCCTCTGAGCAAATACGAAATGCTGAAGACCAATGCGGTTGGCCCCCGTGCGACCCGGAGTGCCTGGACGGGTTAACAGAAAGGGCTATGACAAGAATGTAGGGTCTTCGGCATATGAGAGCAAGTGAAATGAGCCCTAGCCCAATTTCAAGAGCCCCTGAGTATTGGTTGCCTCAGTAGGTGAACTTCATGACTCCAGCAACAGTGCAGGACCCTCAGATTAAGTGCGAATAATCCGATACCAATGCGAAAAGTCCCTGAGCAGCCGGGAGAAACTCTGGCAGGTTAGCATACAGGGACCCAGAAATCGCATGGACCCTATTAATAGCGTTAAGTAAAATGTTCAGTGCATTAGCGAGACTACTGTCTTTTATATGCGTTACGTAAGACATATTGTCCCACAACCGCATAGTCGGGTGGACATGGCTGCCCAAGCCAACTGACAAACCACAACGGGTACGTGACAACATACCGGCGGCCGGTTGTCCCGGCCTTTCCTTGAAAATTTAAAGCTTTCGGACAAGTCCAACACAATTCGCTAACGTCATTAGTCAAGGTCAAAATGGTTCAGTTTTCATTTCTTTGCGTCCTTGAGTCGACAGCTCCTTAATGCGCAATCCCTCCACACTAAATGCTTGGTGGAGAATGTCGCCGTCGAGCAACGGGGGGTGTGAGCGCTGCTGGTGTGGGGGTGTGGGGAATCGCCGTGATTTAATTGGCGATGATTGCTTGGTGCAGTGTTGAACACTTATTTCTTTGAGAAATCGAATGCGGTTATTGTTGTGACAAAGATACTGGGTGGAAGTGACTGGTGCCGTGCCTAAGTTGAGGTTGCATGTGAAACGCTATTTTGGCGCACCGTCGTTCCGCTCATCTGCCCTCCAAGAGACCAGGTGAGTATATTCTATTTTTGACTTTTAAGCCGTGTTAGTGCATGTTGGTTAGAAGGCATCATGAAAACTACTGTCGCCTGTATGGGCTACAGAGCTGTGCTTCAAGACGTGTGTGGCGTCAGCATCATATGCCATGCTATGTATATATATGCCATCTTACGCCATCACATGCCAAAAGATATGTACAGGAACACATCCAGCATAGCAAGGCATTGCAATAATTTCCATCCATGTACATCATAGGTTAGAGTACTCAGAGGTTTAAACAAAGTGAACATGAAACTTAGCACTTATAGAGCTGATGTTTCATTAAACCGTGATGCTGAAAGGGCAATTTCATACAAAAATTCCCTTTAAAATATTTTGCGGACAGAATTAGCTAAAAATGAGGTTAAATTGGACCAAGCCTGAGCTCTGAGCGCACAAGTTGCGGTGCATTCAAGCTGCGTAAGTGTCCAGGACAGTGTGTAACTTTTCAGACTGGGCACTGTATAACATGTTTGCCAGAAAAGGTGATGACTTGCAGCTGGTGTCTTCTCAATGGGTAATCGGTGAGGGAATGTCCAAATTTATGATTGGTGACATAAAAATGTGAAATTGGCTTTTGTGTAATTTGACTCTGGACAAAACTGAAAAAAGTGCCTTACACCAAACATGTTTGGAGTGGCAGTAACACTGTGGTAACTGTTTCAGTATTTGACACTATAAATCTGAGAAGCCTGTGAATTTTGCAGGTTTAGCAATATTTGAATTCTTCAGATTTTGCATGAATTTCAGTGCATGTAGATGTAATATTTCAAAAGGCCATGAGATCATGGAAATAATAAAGAAAAACACCCTGGAACATTTCTTTGCACTAAATGAGCGGAACAATCTGGAGGAGTTTAGCCTGGCATAAATTTGGTACATACATTAGCAAGGTTCAGCACAGGTCATTTAGGGATCTGACACATAGGGGTTTTGTTGGACTAGGCTCCATATGGGTAGAAAGCTATTGAAGTATCAACCAAGTTATTGTAGAAAAGGTTTGATATGGTTATGAATATATGATAAAGCACACAGCCTATGGTTCTCTCAGAATATACGTTAAGGCATGCTTTAAAAAATCCATGGCAACCTTCCCACATATTTTTTCAGTTAGGAATTAATAGCAGGCTTGTGTGCTGGTATGTACCATAGGTAAGTACCCAACATGATAGATCATCATCTTTGTTCACATCTTTGATAATAAGTATTATTTGACTTTTTAAAAGCAAGAAGTAGTCCAGAAACAGTTAGCTGTAGTCTGAACCTTTTCATTGAATGGGCTACTGGGACCAGTGTACCTGCTAATATTTGCTTTTTGTATGAGACTTGAACCCTACCATCTAATCATGAACCCTGAAATTTGAGGTCAAAAGCAAAATTCTAAGGTCAGCTCAGGATACTGAAATCATAGGCATACTTGTCCTCCCACTGATGCCACCTGACATTAAGCTGTGACCTCTGCCACTAGCTGCAGGCCATCATCGAAGCAAATAGTGAGCGCCTAAAGAGAATCCAACCCACCATGTCATGAGTAGGTGAATTTGATGTAGTCAGCTAATGTGTGCTATGGTGGTGCTGGATTTTCATAAAATACAGGAAACTTCTCTTGAACCACTAAAGTCAGAACTATAACATGTGACCTATACAGGATGAGACAATTTAGAGGGTGACTGACATGTCCCCTCTTCCCAGCTGAAGTTTAGGCATGTTCAAGCTCCTATACTCCACATCATTATCTAGGCCTGATCCCATTCACTCCAGGGTCCTGAAGATGACACCTCCTTGCATGCTCCACTGACTGTGCTATACATAAGGTCATTCATGTGGGGGCAGGCTCTGAATGACTGGGAGGGTTGGGATGTAGTGCCTTTTCAAGAGTGGAGATGGACAGGAGCCACCAGACTACAGGACACAGAGTATTACTTTGGTCCTGGCAAAGGTGCTGAAACCCTGGTGTGCAACAGTCAGCTTGAACAGATGATGTACACAAACCAGCATTGCAAAGCATGATTTCCTGCCAAAATGCTTCCACATAGCTCAGCATCTTTCCTCTGTGGAGAGGTTCTCATCATTTGGCTTCTCTCCACCCTGTACCCTAGTTTTGCTGTCAAGCAGGACTATCCGTTGGAGGTTTCCAACTTTGATTTTTTCAGAAGCTTTTTATTTTATTCACCACAGAGACAAATATTTTCAATGTGCGGGTGTCATAGGCAAGTAGGCAGGAAGTTGGACTAGGCTTCTTCCTAAACCTTCACACTACCATAAGAGGACATTCACAACAGGCTGCCAATCTAGGAGCTGTGCCTCTGAGTGGGGTACATCCATCCTGATATCTGAGCAGCCAGTGACAGGCACACTGTGTCAGAGCAAATGGTCTGCATGCCCTGGGTAAGCCACTTAAAACATTGTCTGCTGCTGACATAGGTGCAAGCAGTTTGTTTGTAAGTCTGCACCAAGCCTGATGAGATGTGTCAACACAGGCTTTGACAACTTCCAAAGCGACCATATTGGTGAAGCCTTTCCTAAGCAACCCCACTGTGAAAGCTAGTTAAAAGCCCTAGAGTGGTACAGGTCAGGTAGGTCCTTCTAAAAAGTAATGTTTGGAGGGAGTCGTGGCCTGGTCTCATCCAATGTTAATTTTGGTCTGGCCCAGCAGTGTTTGACTTGGCCTGTCTGACCCAGTCTGATATTTTATCTGTTAGTAATGTGTAACATTACCCAGTGTTTTGAGAGGACCCAGTTACAAAGAATACCCCAGCTGACTGGCACAGTGCTAGTCAGCATCAGCAACTTCACCACACATTTGGTTGTCACATGCTGCCGCACTCACGAAAGTTGTGATTGTCAAAGTCGAGATTGGGGGTGTTGGTTAAAAATATTAGGTACCTCCATTATGGGATAATCCCAGTAAAAGTTATCCCACAGTTTACCCAACATTGCCAGGTGTATTTGTCACACAGTCAGGACTGTGATCGACTGGGCGGTCCACCATCTGCAGCATGTCCGGCCGCCGAGCATCCTGCACCGCCAGGGGGCCATCGAGAGCATCTCCAGTATACACACGATTTGACGGATGTGAGATTACGAATCATTGCCACTTTTGGTGGTCATGTTTTCCCAATGTATTTGCATTGGAATAGTTACCATCACAGTCCTGACTGTGTGGCAAGTATGTTTGTCCGTGCTGAGTAAAATTTGGATTGACGTTTTTGAGCCACCCTGCATTACCTGCATATTTGCACGTGCTTTGTTATTACATCTTGGATATACCTATGTTCTGGTGGTATCAAAGTGAAACCTAATTTCCTTGGAACAATGATTTGCATCACTGCCAGTACTATTGGGCTCATTAAGCAATGACTCAATGCCTGACAATTTGCTCCACTATACAATTTGTCTGAGCTGAAATAATTTTACAGTATCCATGACTTGCATCAGGTACTCTCCACATGTCAACCATTTCTACATGTACTTCCAGCTCCTAGATGCATGGAAGAGGAAAACTGCAACTTGTACCAGCTTGCTCAGGGGCATTCATCTGTCAATGGGTTCCAAGAATCTTGGTGGTGGTTTGTTTGCTAGGTTTTGGGCATATGAATATAGCATAGACATTTGGTCATTGAGGGGGGGACTCAAGGGTACTTGGTCCTAACCAGGGGATTTGTTTATGCCCCAAAGCATCATTTCTGAGGTAATGGACAATGTCATTAATGCCAACATTGTAAAATGTGGCACAGCTGGAGCTGGTGATACTTTCTTTGCACATACTGTGCTATAGTAGCTTGGTTCTTATTCACGTCAGGTCACTGGGCAACCCAAGCGCATATGCTCTGACCCCTTATGCTAGTGGATGCTGACCTTGGCTGGTTACCTTAGGAGTCTGAAGATTTGCGGTAGATTCCACATAAGATCTGCATATGTTCCATACCCCCAGCTTTTTTGGTTTCACAACAAGTGTTATTTGTGGGTGTGGGTGCATTGTTTGGCTCGACTGAAATGGAAGGGTCAGCTGACAACTGACCAACGAGGTTTGACCCAGGTCCGGGGCGGCCGTGCCGCAGCATTGTGCGGCACGTAACCCCCCCCCCCCCCCTCCCACATTCCTGTCGGGCAAAAAGGTGGATGCAAAATTGTCCGTTTAACTGGACGGCGCGGCTTGGGTGGTTGGCTCATAATGCACGCAACAAGCTGCGCTTAGCAGGTACTCTAAACCCAAAGCACCTATGCAAAAAACAAAACAACACCAACAACAACAAAAGCATGCAAACTTCAGAATGGATTTATAAAAAACATTCTCGAGACCGTTCTTACGTTTTGTGCGACAAGTTTAGGGAGCTGTAGGCCGCAATTGTCGGACATTCGTTGACCTCCAGCACCCTTGAACTTTACAACTTCACCTCCTTGCATTGGAGTTGCGTCTGCTCTGATAAATGTCATGAGTGTCAGCAAAAATAGGTCTGGCACAAATGTCAATGGTGCATGTAAAATGTCACTGGGTCTTCGTTGCACCTTGACAGACGCTTTGTTCGTACAGGTTTCCTTTGATTCAGGGAATTTGATGCATACATTGCAGATACGAGTATGTCAGTTACCCGGAATGGCGATGCCAAAGCTGAGGTGCGTGACTACTCAATGACCTCTTGACTTGTCGAAAGGGTCAACTACATATGACAAACTTGCTTTATGTTAAATTTGCTATGAAGAAAGCTGCAGTAAATATGTTTCTGTTTTGTGCCACTTATTGGAAAGGTTTGTCGTTTGGTTTGGGGAACGCCGAACAGGATGGATTTCTCCCACAAATGCATCAGCCGATGTGAGTTAGACTGTCGCCGCTGGACCGAAACAGGTGTACTGAATGCTACTGAATGTCTTATGTATCCAGCAGAAGTTTTTAGGTAACGCGTAAGCTCAGGTAAAAGTCCAATGGCAATGAGTGACATAGCCCCCCCCCCCCCCCCACCCCCACCCCGCCGCCACCGCCTGGTCGGTTGCGCAAGAGTGAAAATCGCTTACGTTTTGTGGGTGCTCAGTGCTGAAAAATAGGGTGTAAAAAATACGTACTGTAATGTGCGTAGTCTAGTGTATTGTGAAATAGCGTACGCATATGATTTTGCACGAATCTGCCTTGTCCTGCTTTTTGCGATTATTTCGGTGTCATAAATCTGTTGCGGATTGTCCGAGGTTTGACAAAACACCGGAAAAGGTGATTGGGAAGACAGCCCTGTGAGGCTCCAACACATTAGATCTAGCCCCACTGGCTCGGCCTAACTCCACTGGTAGGTACAACCCCACTGGGTCGGCCTAACTCCACTGGTAGGTACAACCCCACTGGGTCGGCCTAACTCCACTGGTAGGTACAACCCCACTGGGTCGGCCTAACTCCACTGGTTACGCCTAACTCTGCTGGTTGATGTAGTCTGGATGCATTTGTTTGCAGGGATCGGCAGAGCTAAGGGTTTGTGTAACCTGTAGCATTGTAAAACATCAAGGTCTCTGAACCGTGTCTATATTCAGCATGCATGGGTCGAGCGAGGAATCATGCGTTGATTCTGAGGGAACGGCAGTGTGACGGGCACAGTTGTGAAGCAATACCACCGTTATGTTTTAAGTTTTCGATGCCGTAAGTAACTTGCAGCAACGGGTGTTGCAGGTCCAAGGCAGCAATGGGTACCTTGGAGGAGTCATCGTTTACGAATGACCAGGATGATACCAACTGGATGACATCCACCAACATTGTAAGTTGCATTGTCATAAATTAGGGCACAGCTGTTACGGGTTTGCCAGCGGCCAGTGTTTTTATTTTGTGTTGCAGCATTTGATCTGTGGGTATAATGTCTTCCAAGCGGATTATGATTGTTAAGTACCGACTTGTAATTACAAGGTAAATTCATTCTGTTTTTTTTTACCATAAGCTACATCGTGCACAAACGGAGGAAAATTCCCAAGAGGTATCCTTATGTGTGACCTCTTCAGCATTGCCGCATCTCGTTCTATGAACGCGGTTTGCTGCCCTGTATTTTGCACTTGCATTTGGCCGTGGCCGTGTGAAGCGGCCCACGAAGCGAGGCGAGGCAGGCGAGCTTGTGTGCCTCAGGGTAATCAGCGCGTCCAATTGACGTGCCTGAGTATCGGGCCCCATCGGCCCTTACTGACACGACTCGGGTCGATCAGGCCGCAAGGCGCGCGGACGTGTGACCTGTGACCTGGCGGCTGACCCCGCTGGTGCGGGCTGCTGCCGGCAGGCCGGCTACGACTTCGAGTTCGATCCGCCTCTCGAGTCCAAGTATGAGTGCCCCATCTGTCTGATGTGCCAGCGCGACTGCGTGCAGACCTCGTGCGGCCACAAGTTCTGCGGCCCCTGCATCCTCGCCTGGCTTAGGTGAGCCTGCCGACCGGGCCGTCACCGTCGCCCCGATGGTCACCGCTTGCAGCGCGCCGTCGGCTGCGGCCGCTTCGTATCAGGCGATGGTGGCGTGGCAAAGAACGCGCAGCTGGTGGTCCAACTTAAGATGCGCGCGTATGGTCGTTCACTGGTACAGTGCAACGGAGCGATAGAGTCAGGTGTCGGAGGCTGATCCTTGTCGGTCTGACGTCACTGCCCACGCTGGTCTGCTGTCGCTGCCCGCGCCGGCCTGACGTCACTGCCCGCGCCGGTCTGACGTCACTGCCCGTGCCGGCCTGACGCCACAGCCGGTGCCGGCAGGCGGGAGCGGGAGCAGTGTCCGCAGGACAACCAGCCGCTGACCGAGAACGACATTTACCCGGACAACTACACACGCCGAGAGATCCTGCAGCTGCGTGTGCACTGTCCCAACAGCAAGAACGGCTGCCCGGCCGCCGTCGAGCTGGCCAACGTGGACCGGCACCTGGCCGAGTGCGAGTATCAGGTGCGCCCGCCGGAACGCGCGGCGGGCGCGGTGGCCAAGCCTGGCCGGTCGGCTGCGCCGCCCGCACTGAGCACGGCCTGGTGTCACGTGGCCGCGGCTGGGACTCGACCGGCGACCGTGCGGAGCAAGTTCTATCTGACCTATGCACCCCAGCAGACGCTCGGGTCGAATGTCTCAGCTCGCTTTCATGTTGTTCCTCCGCGGCTCGCATTGGCCTATGTCTCTCTCGCTTACATGTATCTCACTCACATTCCATGTGCCATCTCTGTTTCTCTCCCGCTGACGCATCCGTTCTTGCGGTCCTATCTGTTCATAAAGATCGTCCGGTCGACAGCGGCCGCTCCCACGTAGACCTCCCGTCGTGCCCGCTCTCCATCACGGTCGTCATGTGTGCTGACCGCGTCTTGGGCTGACTATCGTCCTTGGGTCGCCTCTCGCCGTGCTACCCATCCGCGGCGTGTAGTCCCGCTCCGGCCATCGTCGCGGTCGCATCTGCGTGGCGACGGCTCGGTCGTAACCACGCGCTGCCGGCGGCAGATCGTACCCTGTCCCAATCGCTGCTCGATGCGCACCATGAAGCGGGAGGTGGCCGACCACTGCCAGAGCAGCTGCCTGCGTCGCCTGGTCAACTGTTCGCTCTGCAGCGAACAGTTCCAGCTCAACCAACAAAAGGTGAGGCACGGCCGGTTATCGGGCGTCGCGTGCCGCCGTTTCCGGCCGATAGCCGGAGCCACGATAACGACGGCGGCCGGCGCGACCCCCGGGCGCTCGGTTCGGCGGCGCTGTCGCCAGAGTGCGTCCCAGCGCCGAGTGTTTTATGACCGGAACCCCAGCGCTGACGAGATAGACGTCAACCCCTGTGGCCATGCATTGGACCGCCGCCATGTCTACCGCATGATCCACTCGCTCAGAGCCGTCATAAGCGTGTGAACGGACTGGGCACGTGCGCGTCCACGTGTCCACGGCAACATGTGCGCGTCCACTTGTCGGCGACCCCGTGGCCGCGTGTGGTGACGGTGTGCGGCGCGGTTGCAGTCGCACCTGAACACGTGCCCGCTGGTGGCGCTGACGTGCGAGGCGTGCCAGACGGTGGTGCCGCGCCAGGAGATGCAGCACCACCTGGCCGAGGAGTGTCCACGCACCGTCGTACCCTGCACGTTCCACGAGGTCGGCTGCAAGGAGCGCATGGTGCGCGACGACCTGCCCATCCACCTACAGGAGAACACACAAAACCACATGAAGGTGAGGCCGGCGGAGGCCCGAACGGTGGTGGGAGGGAGTATGGGGGGGGGGGGGGAGGGGTCGGTCGACGTGACGAAGCGGGAAACAACCCGGATTGCGCCAGTCAGAAGTCGAGCAGTAACACCTAGCTCAGGGTCGGGATATCAAGTCTCCACCGCTCGGGGGAAGGCACCTTTTTGTTGCACTGCTCGCGCACTATGATTCATTTGGCTTATGCATCATTCGTACGCACACGAATCCGCCGACTGAATCATCTCCTACGGCTCAGTGACTTTGAGCAGGCATGCCATATCCGTCAAGCGTATGATAGGTTACCTCGCTGTCGGCTTTGGCCGGTGGCTCTGCGGTGGCGGCGGCGGTGACGGCCTTGTGCCGTGCCTTGTGCCCCTCAGATGCTGGTGCTCTCCTACAAGAACGTGTCTGGCTTCATGTCGGACCTGGGCCGGGCGGTGGGCGCGCTCTCGTCGCCGCTGGCCTCGCCCAGCCTGAACCGGCAGGGCAGCACCACCAGCTGCGCTGGCGAGATGCAGCGCCAGTGGAGCTGCTCTTCCATCCAGGAGGGTGCCTGCGCCAACACGGTGTAGGTTGGCCTGTCCGGGCAGGGGCGGGGTGCGGACCGCGGCTGCCCGCGCTGGACGTGCGGTGCTGGACGCTGTGACGCTGCAGGGGAACTCCCCGGTGGTAGGCTTTGCTTTGAGGCCGGGCGGCGTTTTCCGACGCAGTATGCAACTTTGATTCAGCGTGTGCCTCGCTGCCGTCGACTCTGGTTGGTCTGGTCGGCCGCTGTTGTGCTGGCGTGCCTTGGTTCCGCTCTGCCCGTCGGCCAGCCGTCAGCCCTTAGTGCTCCGGGCGCCACGCGTCTGACCAGGCCGCCCTTGTCCGGTCCGGCAGCCACCACCGGTCCGTCTCGGTTCCGTCCGTGCCGGTGGAGGGTGCGCGGGGAGCCAGCGAGCTGGAGCAGCGCCTCCAGATGGACTTCAGCAAGCTGGACCTCGGCAAGAAGTCCATCTCACCGGAGAAGGTCATCAAGGTGAGCGGCGCCGGCGGGCCGAGACCTCCGAGGTGCCTTTGGCCATTCCAGTCCTCTTGAGAGGGGGCAGAGGAATCAACGATCACCGACGCGGATTAGATGATCCGTGTGTTTGATGTGCTGTCACTGGTAACGCTCCATCTTCCGAGGATTTGGGCTCTCAATGTAGGCCCTTGTTTTGTGACTGCCTGTCTGACGCGGACGGGGCCGTTTGATTTCCATGCATCCTCTTGGCTTGGTCTAGTGCGCGATGAGCTGGACGGTGTCGGGAAGCCAGCCCCGTGGACAGTGTGTGGTGGGTCTGGGTGCCTCCGCCACGCCAGAGGGGCATCACCCCGCCGACACCGGCCGACGCCCGTACCGCAGGACATCTGTGAGAAGAACGTGCGTCTGGACCAGAGGTCGCGTGAGCAGGCCATCCAGATCCAGAATCTGCGCGCCCAGCTGAAGGAGCTGAAGGAGGCGAGCCGACGCGCCACGCAGGTGCCACATGAGATGCTGGGCCGCTGCTGCAACGGCACCTTCGTCTGGCGCTTCCACAACTTCAGCGCCGAGATTCGGGAGATGGAGGAGAACTCGGCCAAGGTGAGGACCGAGCAGGGCACAGGGTCGGCTACCAGCGACTGAGACGGGACCGTGCGGCTCGCGGGGCGGGTGGCGCCGCGATAGGCGCCGGCAGGCTCGGACGAAGCTTCGGCCGCCGACTGAGCGTGAACTAGTGCTACTGCCGTCGGGCTCGCCGAGCCCTCCAGTATCAAGGGGACGGCGATAGCTCCCCGGACTCTGTATATTTGAAGGCGAATGCCTGCGCATCATTGCTTATTCCCACTGGCTACTGAATCATGTGCCTCATCGGATTCTATGTGTGACGCCATTATTTCGTCTTTACACGCACTGGCGTGCGCTACCTTACTGACCCAGTCCTCCCCTGCTGCCTCCGCCTCCCCGGGCTGCCCCCCCCCCCCCCCCCTGCGCACTGGCTACTGACTGCGCCCTGCCCGTCAGGTGGTGCACTCGCCCAGTTTCTACACGGCCCCGTTCGGTTACAAGCTGTGCCTGCGTGCCAACCTGTACCAGCGCGACGGCGACCGGTACCTGGCGCTCTTCATCCACATGCGCCGCGGCGACAACGACGACATCCTGGAGTGGCCCTTCTCGGGGCGGTTCATCGTCTCGCTGGTCAGTCCGCCGCGCGCACGCGCCGTCCCAGCGGCCGGTGGCGCCGCACACGCAGGCAGAGCGGCCCTGCCCGCCTGACGGCTGGCGGGGCGATGTGGTCAGAGTGTCGAGAAAAGCCAGGCGAGGCTGGCTGGGTTAGTCGGCCGCTGCGTTTGGTACCGCGCTCACCTCGTGACCTGCTGTTTGGGCATTCTTGTGCGGCTGCGGTCAAAGTTCCCAGCTGCACTGGGCTATTCACATGTGAGGTCGATGTTCCCACTTCAATCTTGTAAAATTACGGGCGACGATTGCTGCCATTATTGTGTGTAGCAGGCCTGTATCGCTGCTGTCCTCGGCCTTTGTGTGTGTGGTCGGTACCGTCCGGCCGGGCCTGAGCACCTGTCGCCGGCCCCTGCGTGTATGTGTGTGGCTGGTACTGGCCGGCCTGGACCTCTCGTTCCCCTCTGGGTGGATATGACTGGTGCGGTGTTGCCCGCGCTGAACATGTGCCGCCATCTGCAGATCGACCAGACCAACAACCCCGTCCGTCACGACTTCACCGAGGTGATGCTGACCAAGCCCGGCCTGGAGGCGTTCGAGCGGCCTCGCGACGACCGCAACGTCAAGGGCTGGGGCTTCACGCAATTCATGCTGCTCACCCGCGTGCGCAGCCACTACCTGCGCCGGGACACCGTCATCGTCAAGTGCGTCGTCCAGGTGGGCAACGGTTACCGTGAGGAAGCCATCCCGGCCGGCCGCTAGGAGGCGCCGGGCGCGCCCGACGGCGCAGCACGAAAGCGTGTCCGCGCCGCCGCACGCCGAGGCAGGTCCGGTCACCGCTCCGGGCTGGTGTCGGCCGCGACGCCGGAGTCGACAGGTCACCTCCAGAAGCCGCCACCGGTGGCGGTTTGACACCGCGCGCTCGACTGCGGCGGAGCCGGACCGGCGCGCCAGCGGAGGCTCGGTGCGGCGGTGCGACGGCGGCAGAGGGGCGGTGGGCCGGCCGGTCAGCTGTGGGAAGCCGCATTCGGCCACCGCGCTGCCAGTCCTCTGGCACGTGCGGGCGAAGCGGATGCGCACAGCTGGCTGCAGAGCTCACGCGTCATGCCGTGCACAGATGTCACGCCAGTCGAGGCGGCCGGTGGATGGGGACGAGCGCCGTGTTTGGTGGGAGATATTGGTTGTGATTTGAACGGACCATTCCAAAACATTTCCGATTTCCTGGTTATTCTCTGGGACAGCGCTGATAGCATTGCGAGTGCAACTGGTCGTGTTTGTTGCGGTGACGTTATGGTTGTGAGTGAATTGGCGTCCGGTGGCCGGCGCTCCGTTTAGTAAGCAGGCAGCCAGCATGGTCCTCACTGGGCCCGATTGTCAGATTCGCGTGAAAGCATTGCCGTCCGACGGTGCCTTTATCTTGCGCGGTGGCCGCCGCTTGTGACTGCTGTCTTGTCCCGCCCGGGTAAGAGGGAGGCTGTTCCGCGTGCCACCGCAGCCGGGCCCCTTCTCGGGCCGATCTGTACAGTCCGCTGAAGCTGTGTGACCTGTAAGGGGCGAGCCGCTCGCGCCGGTTACGAGCAAGCCTTACGATGACGACCATCGAACTGAGTGAGATGCTGAGAAAGTTGATTGCCGAATCTGTCTGTGTCCGTGTGTGAGCCCGACGCCTTAAACCGCGGTGCTGTCGACCAAGCATTAAGTTATTGCGAGACTTAAGTCATTCCAGCGACGCGCGGCTGTCGGTCGCCGCGCTCAGCACCGCCGTCCGTCGCAGGCGAAGTGATGCTCAAGCTGTGTCCGAGGCCCCGGGGGCTGCGGCCGCTGGCACCGCGGCCGCCTCTGGTCCGTTCGCGGCGGCGGCCGGCGCGCTTGAGCCGCGCATAAACATGTTTTGAGAGGACGGCCGGACGCAGCCGACCGGCGGCCGCGCACCTGCCTCAAGTCCTGTTGCACGTTTGATGGAATCTATTTTAATGGATTGTTGTGTGTGCGTGCACACTGTTGTTGGCGCACGCCCGGTGGCTGCCGAGAGGGAGCTCACCGCACGGGCTGCGCGGTGTTTTCACGGATCACCAGCCAGGTGACGGCCCGCCGTGGACCCGCTCACCGAAGGCACCTGTGTGAGTGCACAAAACGCGGCGGCGGAGCGCGCCCCCGCGGGAATTTGCTGCTGGTGTAGCGTTAGTGTTGTGACGTACTGTTTTGCCCAGCGTCGGCCGCGGTGTGTGGACTGTGGGCCCCGCGGTAGGTAGCTGCGTATCCACTGTGATTGACATCTTCGCTCGCGGGGCTGCCCTTGGTTCTGGCAGTGATGTCCGCCCTCTGGCTGCAGGCGCATGCCAAAGGGACCTCGGCTTAGGTGCTGTGGGAGTCGTAACACACTTGTCTACGTTTCAGACCTGCGCTCTGTGACGTCACGGTTCTTTATTGCCACGATGTGTTAGTGACCTGTTCGTAGGCCGGATGGGGGAGCGCTTAGGAGCCTCACCCCAGGTCATGACCGGTAGAACTTCCGCAGAACCGCACAGTTGAGCGGCGTGCCCCGCGTTCATGGGAAGATGCACAGTAGCCAGGAAGCGGCTATGCGGATCTGGTCACCGAGGCCTGCCCTGACCCGCCTGACCTCACCCCTGGCATTCTGATCAGTTCGGGAAGGGCTGGCTAGAAAGTGGGCCTGACGCGGAATCAGCGGAGCGCCGAGCGCGAGTCGGCCTCGTTTGACTTTTCTTTCGACTTGCGCGATCAAGACCGCTTTCTACTGCGTTGGTACTCGCGTCATCGTGGTCCGTAATGGGATGTGTTGTGTGTTGTGTTGCGTATGTTTTGATAATTTTATGGCTTGTATCGCTGCTCATACATCTAACCGGCCGGTGAAATAACAACGGGTCGCTCGGCGGTCTGCCGACGCTGGCAGCGTTCATCGATTCATTTGTGTTCCCTATTTTTGTACATAGCCTAAGCTTGCGTGGCCGCGCGTGCCGTGCGGGGCGCGCCCCCATGCGTCCGCCCAGTTACGGTGCAATAAGAGGCGGCGAATCTCACGTTACGCGCCGCCCGCATGGGTGTCCAGATAATAAACTGTCGCGAAACCGGTCGGCCGTGGGTGTTTCTGACGGCGCCACAGCTGCCTTCTCGGAGATGTCAAGTGTGAGCGGCGCATCACGACCAAACCGAATCAGCCAGGAGTAACGATGAAGTTGACAGCTGTCGATTGTCTGATGTCAGAGAAAAGTTCCTGTAACAACGTGAGTCGCGCTTCCGCTAATGCCGCTATCAGCGCGAAATTCATATTTGGGGGTTACAGCAACTTGTATACTGGAGCAGGTCTCCAAACGGTGAGACGGCACGCGGTCTTCTGTGGGCCGGCAGACGGGGTAGGTCAGGCCGGGCGGGGAGGCTCCGCGGACGGCGGTGGGGCTGTCGGCCGACACGACTCAGGCGCCTCACGCCCGTCCAACGCCTCCCATGGGCTGGCGCCCCCCGCCAGGGGCGCTGCCGGGAACCGTGCCACATGCGTGAACTGGCTGGACATCGGCCAGGCCTACTTCGCGATCGGGTCGAGCGCCACTGATGAATCGATGCCGGCGGGATTCCATTCGTCAGCGTAACGAGCACCCGCGCGGCACGAGGTGTGCTTATGTTAAGGAGACCCTCACCTAGTCTCACCTATGTAGATGAAAGGATACCCCAATTTCCAGAAACTAACGGGGGGGGGGGGGACCTAACAGCGACCCCCATTGGATGCGTCGCTGCTGGCTGTATGAGGTATGGCGTGGGTCGGCCGGGCGCTGTGCCTGTGTCTGGTGCCGGCTTGAGGAGCGTGTTCCGTGTCCCCTCTGCTGGGCTGCTGCTGGCCCGCAAGCGGCCGAACCGGGTACTGCTGGCCCGTTAGGGGAGGGGGGGGGGGGGGGATCGGGGCGCTGCTGGCCGTCAGCGGCGGAACGGGTTTGGACCAGCACTACTGGTCCGTAAGCGGCTGGACGGGGCAGACTGACACCGTCGACAAGACCGAAATAGCCACGCTTAACATTGCATGGCGATCGAGCTGGGCGGTGCGAAGCGCCGCTAGGGACGGGGAGGGGGAGGGGCCGCCGCGGCCGGGCTGCGGCATGCCCCTGACGACAAGAGCCGAGAGAGAAGAGCGCGCGGCGCGCAGATGCGCTAAGGCGTCTGTGTGCGGCCAAATATCACCGCGGAATCTGTTCATCTGAGTGACCGACAGATGTTAGAGAACGTTAATCGATTCTCGTTTGGCATGTCATATTCAGATCTGCAATTTTATTTGCACACGTATTGACTCAACATGCTTAAACCTTCTCAACGTGGGTTTATCGGTTAACGTCAACGCGGGTCGACATGCATAACGTAGCGTTAATATCTCGCGTCAACACATATCGGAAAAGCTCAACCAGGCGCCGATATCTTCCATGACGATCAGCTTGGTCACATGGTTTCGTAACCAGAAGTGTGGAGCTGAAATAAAGATGGTTGCGCAGTCCTAAAACTGAGAGGATTATGAGAATGATCGGAAGACGTTGACGCGACAACACGCATGTATACAGTGGCACTGCATGAGAACAGTCACGGTCAGTACTGAAGTCGAGTACGGGGAATAGCGACGGCTCTGGCTCCTGCACAGCCAGAACAGAAGACACCACATTACAGGTCAGGGCAGCTCGGCAGCGGATAGGCCGCCCGCCTCCGCCGCGCTCAGTCGGAGGCCGGCTTCCCGCGGCGTCCGCGTGATGAGCCGACACTGGACCGCGGCGCGAGCCAACAGGCTGATCACTTGGCGATTGTCAGCCTTCGAATGACGATGACATGCTCCGATGCCGATGACCGAAGCCAGGGGCATGGGATTGCCGCCAATCGGGAGGGATTTGAGTCCCTCCAACATGCCTCCGACCTCGTTCAACCCCGCTCCCCACGCCCAGCTGGACAGTTGGCCCAACAGCCGCACATGGCACGCTCATGAAGAATGACAATAATAATGGCGAGGATACCGATGGCAAAAACACAGATGCATTACATTCAATGTTGGACCAAACACATGTAGTATATTCCTGAAAGTTTGGTCGTTCGGCTGTTTAGAGCCCTTTCGACCAGAAATGATCATTTCAGGGCAATGGGATGAAGGAAAATGGATAACGGTGGGGTAGACTTGCATGCGCCTGGGGGACCAACCGCCGAGCTTTAACCCGCACAATGGCGCTGGGTACCCGATCGGGGTCCTCCTCCCTACGGGCTCTCGGTCCACTCGTGGCTGACGCATGAAGCGTGCCCCGGACAAGCGGGGTGTCGCGAGGATGCAGGATGAAGCGAGATAGAGGATAAGAGGGTTGGATGACGTAGTCCTTAAAATAGCTGCAAAGAGACATTAAGCATCGTTCAGTGGCACATGACCTTTCAGTCCAAATACACAAATCATTCTCAGTTTCTGCCGCGCACAGTTCCTGTCAGGCCCAGGTTTTCTGTGACGTGAGTAATCGCCCCGTGATCCCAGAACCCCAGGCGCCGCCGCTGTCGCCTCGCTGACCCCGTTCTCCGACGACCCCACCTGCCATCGGACGCGGCCGCATCGAGCGCCACCCCCACTGGTCTGTTCCAGACCTAGACCTTCGGGACCCAGGCCGGTGCCTGTCGGGTCCAGGCTCGTGTCTTGAAAAATGATGGCATGTTTCGCGATATTGGTTTTAGGAGCAGGACTTTTGATAGTTTGCCGCGAAAACCTTGACATTATCACCCTAGTAGGACGGTTGCAGTTCAACGGATCTTTTCTTACAGATACATTTAATCGTACGTTTCAGTGCCATGGCATGGGCATGAGGCCAGACTATCATTACAGATATTTTATATAAGAAAGAAAGCCCTTAAGCTTCCGTGTTTTACATTATTAATTCATGCTGCGTTAATTATGCTGCATTAAGATGTTCCAATGTGCTCAGTGCACTCTTGAAGATGAGTGCGGCTCGAAGCATTAAGCATTCACCAATCTATGTCGTTCAGCACTATAACATCAGGTCCATCCCAACGATGCCTCCTGGTATATTTGAGATCGTCAACTCATATAAGAACTTTACACTCATTGTTCGCATTGCATCACTTAAACATCCTCCGATGAGTGAAACCTTAAGTTATGACTTAATCAGCGCCGCCAACCCAGATGGTGGTGAAACTGGGATGAAACACCGTGAACGCTTACGCTGCGATGGTAGCCGGGTTCCGGTGTCACTCGATTACAAACCTGACGCTCTGTTGGCCACTTAGACATAGCACAGGAGATCCAGATAATCGGAACGAGCACCATTCCTTCCGCATTCCAGTGTACTACGCCGCCAAGGGTTTGTGCTCTGACAAGCCTCTGTCGCCGCCGCTGGTCGCCTTTGGACACCAGCCTTCAAAGCCACCACCGGTCCCGTTAGACAAATACACGGATCTTCGGACATCCGCACAGGTCACTTAAACCCGACCATCCACGTCGCCGTGGTCCTTCTGGAGTACCGGCCTCCGCCGCCGGCCACTTTTAGACCCGGACACTCATCCGTGACTCTGGGCTCTTGGGTCCGGCCCCAAATGTCACCACTGGTCCCTGGGCACAGGCTTCCGTCACTGGTTCCCCTCGGTCATAAGCCTCTGGTGACACCGTCGGACTCTTCCGGTTCGCGTCCTCTGCTTGATCCATCTATCAGAGCGTTTATTACGATAATCTCCGGACTGTTTACTGACTCATAGATCTGCCGACGCCACCACCGTTCGCACGTCTGAAGGTGGTGCAGTGTAGCGATGCAAAAACAGTCCCGGCACCAGCGGCAGTCGAGCTCTTTTCTATCAGGAGTGAGCCCCGCTGTACACTGACTAGTAATGGCTCCGGGCGTTTAACCATATCAGGGCTCCTGAGCGTAATGACATCCCGTGCTGGCTTTGGGTCGTTTGCTCTTGGAGCCTCCCAATCAGGGGCCATTTTAATGAGCAAACCATGTGGGGCATCACGCTGGACATCCCTTTAAGGGAGACAATAAAATGCTCACACGCTCGGGACAAAGTGCTGACACGCTAAAAAAATATCGTTACGTCGCACGATTGCAAAAATGTGCTTTTTGAGCGGCGAAGCTGGTGCAACCGAGTCAAACAAATATAGAAAATCCGGGTGATGCACGCTGTTCTTGGACGAACGTTGTACACATGTCTAAAAATATTTATATTAGGCTGTTAACTAGAGGACTCTACGGGCTAGGTAAGCCCATGGACACCCATGGGGTGTCCATAGGTAATGGTAATGGGCTGGATTGCTGGATTCTGGGAAAATTACGAACATGGACACGGATCCTGGCAGACGTCACGAAATGTCCAGGAGATAACTCAAGAAATGCTATGCATACTGAAAACTGTTTGCACTGCTTTTAATCATTATTAGGTTCATTCACGGTACTTTCGCAATTATCGAGGCAAAAGGTACGTTTAAGCGCCAGTTCTCTTAAAAGGTGTCAATAATGTTGGGTCCAAGAGGCACTTTTTCCTGGTGATAGGTACGCCATGATTTAGAGGGATGCCAGCGTGAATAAAAAATCGCGACTTGATGGCGCATTTTAGCGGCAGGAACGTCCTTTTGTGTTTTGGAGCGTCTTTTTAACCTCATGTGGCGCCCTTTGGACGTTCAGTAGAAGGCATTCTTCTCACCTTTCGGGACAGGTGTCTCCGCACCTTCGAGGGGCGCCAATTCTCATAGGGGAAAGGGGGCCGCCGCTTTCGCTGATTCCCCTGATTCACCCCTGTTGTATGGCAGAGTGGTAAATTAGAGGATATCAGGGTGCCGGTAGTGTAGTGGTTAACGCGTCCGCGCTAACCGCTTCGCGCCTGGGAAACCAGAGGTACGGGTTCGATTCCCCGCGATGCCCGCCCTTCCTGCCAGGGTGAGAGGCAGGCGACGCCGTAAAGCCTTGGCAGGTGAGTGCGTCGTAAAATCCCCCCCCCCCACACACACACATACACACAATTTAGAGGATATCATATTGTATTTCATTGTTGCCACACTGATTCAACCTTAATAAAATCATCGCGAGCTAGATTCGGGATACACACTAAGGGAGTAAAGCTGGCCGCGTGATGCACTGACTTAGAAAGAGAGTAAACAAGTTTGCAGCGCATATACAAACCAGCGCACGTGTTTCCGCCGTATAGTCGTAGAGGTTTCGACGGCAGCGTGTCTCGATTAATGTGGCCACCCCACGAACAAATCTTTGGGAAGTTCGGCACGCAGGCTTGCCCTGCGCTTACGCTTACGACATGGCGTTTGTTTTTACGTCACATGCTCTTGGTTTTCTGTCCCTAATGTCCTGATGCCTATTCCCATGCGTGCCTACATAACCATGTAAGTAGATCGTTAAAAATAGAATAAAATTCTTTGAGTTGGCATTTCATCGTTTTTCAGGTGGAAAAGTGTAGTGGCCAAGTCGGGGAGAAATTAGCTGTTGGGGTAACCTGGATACATCCCTTCCTTACTGCTTCTGCGACACTTAGCCGCTGAAGGAAATGAAGTGTCTGCACACCGTAAAGATTATGTAGATATAACTTGACTTGATTAATACCAAACACCCACGAAACGTTGGAAACGTGAATGGAAAAAGACACTGCAGCTGATGCAGTTAAGAGTTATTTAAGGTGATCCAAAAAACCAAGAAACCTGGCAAACTTAAAGTTATTGCGGTCAAGCTCACGTGACGCACTCTGAAATTCACTGATTCATGTCAATGCGTTGGCTCAATAGAATCTGATGATTTGGCGAATATAGCATCGCTAACGGCTGTACCAAGCTGATTCGCAGAATCATCTGTGGAGCGCATAACTATTTCGGAAAAAGATTGATGGCTGCGGGCACAGGAACTGCTAATCGTGGTAGAGCACAACTCACGTCGGCATCACGCTCATCAGTATGCATTGAGGCAACCACTATACGGTACAGATATCGACGAATGTGTAGGATATGAGTGCAGGCGCGGGCGAGATGGGTAGATGCTTCGAGCTGAGAATGAGCGGCACCGCGTGGCAGGTATCCCACGCTATATACCACTTCTCGCGTTCGCTCTGAGCTAGGAAAAATGAAGAGCCGGTCACTTGAGAGCGCGGCATGTACTCAGCCTCCTCTGCGGCGGGTGACAGCGCTCCTCTGACTGCGCGTGCCGCCCCCTCTCCCGCGCCGGGGATCAATCGTCGGCGTCGGTCGTCGCCGTCGTCACGCGCGTGCGCCGCCGTCGCCGCCGACGCTGGCCGCCGGCCGGCTGTTGTCTTCTGCCGGCGGGCACCGTGGTCGCAGGATCGATCAGGCCGGCCAGACGCCGCCGCTGACCTCTGACCTGTCACGTGGCGCCGGCCGTTGACCTCTGACCCGCCGCGTGCGTCGGCCGTTGACCTGCGATCTGAGCGGAGCGCAAGAGTCTCGCCATGTCCATCCAGATGCAGCTCGGCCAGGACCACGAAGGTGAGTGCGGCAGGCGCTGAGGGCCGGGCCGAGCCTGGGGCGACCAATCGCTCGTGGGATACACATCTGGCGAGTGGCGGGGCTGACACTGCAGTCGTCGACATGACGCCTTCGCTGCTGAGGGCAAGGCGAGACGTTTCGGTGTTGGTGCGGCCGGGTGGCTGTCTACGGAAAGAGGCCGGTGGGAGGCGCGGCTCAGTAGATGAAAACACTCTTTTTATTGGAATGTCGTTCAGGGCCGGCTCTCCCGATACACCCAGGCTTCGGCATGGTAGCAATCATGATATTTCAGAGTGGCCTCACATCTACAGATGTTCTCCCTCCGGGGGGGGGGGGGGGGGGGGGCTCGTACATCGAATCAAGCAGTATACTGGACGATGGTTATCTCATTCGTAGATGTTTGGCGCGTGTGTTGGCAACACGGCTGCTCGTAATTCGCTGCAGTGAGGGAGAGGCCGATTAAAGCAGTACAAAGATTGATATCTGGCACCCTAGACCGCTAGAAATTCCGCGTTATCTGCACTGGCACGCTCCCGGGTAATTTTCCGCATGGCGGACGGAAGTCACGTGACCCGGTTATCAGCTGGATGGCTGATGCCAGGCGCAAAAGCTCATATCTAATTGGAAGGGCTCAAGTCCTCCCACCCTCCTCCAAAGGGCGGATTCAGAACGTCTCTGTAGGGGAGGAGACAACGCCACCTCGGGAAAAGCGAAAAGGTGTCCCGATTTTTTTGGTAATCGAATTTCGCTTTTGATATCTACTTTTTAATCGTCTTTTACTTCAGGGAGCGCTGTCAAATAAACGTCTCAAGGTACGAAATGCTTAAATTTCCGTCAAAATCCGCAAATGTGCCAGCTGGTTATGGCAATCGTGTATGTGTTTGTGGGATGGAGAGAGGGGGGGGGGGGGGGCACCATCGCCTACTTGTTCCTTGGATCCACCCCTGCCCTCCGATTTGCAGCTGAGCTCTTCCAGCTTGACAGCGAGCTCCACTACCCTGTAGACCGTGCTCACAAAAATTTAAGCAATGCACGCAAACAAAAACAAAAAATCGTGAAAACGCGTCTCGGTGTTCTCCTGGTATGCCGCAATACAGTTTTCTCCTGTAACTTAAGTCACCTTCTTTTGAATTGTTGTTCCTTTCAAGTAAAGCCATCATGGGATCTTAAAAATCGTCAATCTACCATTTTCTGTCTAATAATGGAAGCTACCCTTATATTACTTACCACTTCGGTGTAAGCCTGCCTCGAAGCTATCACACCTCCCAATACACAATCCCATCGTCACATGCCGGTGCTGTCTGGATACTTGTTTGTAGAAGATGTGCATCACTTTTATTGTTTGTCATATGCCGTGTGTCAGTTTAGCATCATCACCATATCAGTTTTAGCCACTGAGTTGGTTGTTTAATTGATAATTGACGGCGGGCTGGTTGACACTGTCCTGAGCGAGGATAGCGGCCGCTCCCCCCCCCCCCCCTTATGGCGGGCACGTTCGGTGGTCTTTGACGGTGTTCAGCGCTGGTCTGTCGCGTCCATTGTCGGGATAGGTCCACTGTACTAACTCGGCAACTGCTAACTGCAGACATCAGATATGGGCATTAGTCTTTTACTGCAACGAGCTGGAGCTCTGATTTTACCCCAATGGTATCGCCACTTTGCCTCGCCAGCGTATCTACTCTTACAGTCTGCTGTACTTAATGGGTGCATTGGGGCATGTGTGTAACCACTGGGGGACTGGGGACATGCGTCTTTTGATTTTCGTGAAATGGGATTCCCTATTTGTCCCGTAAAAGGCATGTGTTCATGTTTTTACATTCAAAATGTCACTTTCAGGTCATGTTGTCCGCCAGATTCCAGTCTCACCCCCTCAATCCTGATGTGTCCCTCCTAATCACAGAGACGCGGTTACACCAATGCATTGATTTGCACATACGATTTGTCGATGGAACCGTTTTCATCCATAACTGAACCATCTCCTCTTATATAAGCCCTTTCTTCTTACTGAGGACCTGCTGAACATTTCCAAAAGAGGCCTGGTGCTCACGCGTGAATTGGCACGCGTGATGGTGCTGTTCAAGGGAGCGTTTTGGTTGCAATACATTGAGCATCGGTTGCCGTCGATTGAGTGTGTGCACCCGAATAACAAGCCAGGCGGTGTGATGCTGTGATCATGTTTACTCTTGGCTTACAGCTGGAATCATCATAAAGGATGCCACCTTTGTGACAAGAAAAAGTGGTCATGCAAAACTGTGCCATATTTGCGCAATAGTTGTGACATTTACCCAAGGGCGAATTGAAGTTTGCATGAAACAACTGAGAACATTTGAAGCGTAAGAACGGGAGCGGTACAAACCATAAAAGGGCATTTCTTAGAATGAAATACAGGTAGCGTCGCAGCCAAAGATAGAAGTCGTACAGCGAAAAGAAACTTTACGTAGATGAAAACGGTGGTCAATATATAGCATTATGAAGCCAACGACGAAAATGAAGCGCAAAGAAAACGGCACAGTGACTTCCGTCTCATTTACCATTTTCTTGTTATGAGCCCGCGCCTTTAAAGTAAAAAGAGCGAGTTATTCGGATGCAACAAAACGAGGGCAGTGATCCCCACAGCATCGGACAGCATTCACGTAAAACTTGGCAGCGGATCAAAACAAATCAACTGTTCCCAGCGATTCCGCGCGGCGAAGGACGCAGCACCCGCGACCAGACTGAACAGCGAGTCCGTTCAGAGGCCCAGCAAACACAGCGCGCCAAACGAGCCCACCTCGCTTCCCGCGTGTTTGTACAAACTTTGGTCGAGGTCCGACCGGGATCTCAGCGGGCGCCGGCGCCGGCCCGAGCGGCGCCGGGGCCCGCGGGCAGCAGGCCAACCGGTTGGGGACTCAAACAACCACGCCTAATGAGCGGGAGTTCCGGTTTAACAGTGGGCTTTGTCAAGTGAATGTATCGCGCCATCTATTGCGCTGGTGGCGATGTCAAAGCAGACCAGATTCGCAGTCTTCTGCATTTATCTTCGGGGTATGTCCGCGGTGCCCGTCGAGGGTTGTGCGCAGCGAGGACGCGCAAGAATGAAACTGGAGCCGGCGGCCCGGCTGCATGCATTAATGCACTCTGCTACCGATGCGTTCATTGTTTGGCCATTAACCGTGCATGCCTGTGGCCGGAAGCAAGTGACACCAAACAAACACCGCTCCATCGCAGATGGCGGCGGCGGCGGCAGATGCCGTCACGGATGTCGGCCGGCGAGGCGGCGGTCAACACGGGTCAAGCGTGTCACACGGTATCAGTGACACGGCTATTTGGTTGACAGCCACGTCTTTCAATGTCAGATGGGTGCGTGATCGGCAGGGTCTCAACACCGTGGCACGCGGGATCAAACCTCATTGCGGGCCTGCAGTGCCGTATCGGATGAAGCTGGTGTCCACACAGCTCTATGTTGCAGTTGCGGCTCCCCTCCCTCCGGCGGCTGGGCCCTGCTGTGCACGGAATACCAGCAGCGTGTGCTGATCATCAGCAGAACAGCGTCAAAGCTAACGTTATGTGGTTACTGGAACGGACTTAGGTGGTGTCAGCTGCTTGGGGACCCAAGCGCAACAAAAACGTTCTGACCAGCACTTTTGACAAACGTTGTCCTTTAGGCATTACAAAATGGAACAGCAGGTTGAGGTGATGAAAAAATAGTACCTTACTGTCTTGTTGATATTCAATTGCTTGAGTTTTTCTTGGATTATGCTTGTCTATCGCTATCTTGCGTTTTTATAGACTAACCTCGATGTTGTGCATGCAGAATACACCTGCATGCCATTAAACTCACCCGGCAGTTGCGCGTGTCAGTTGGATTGCTGCAGTGGTATTTCGTCCCGTGTAGTGTAGCACTCAGGCTGCCATATTTCTTCATGTTGAAAAATAACACAAATTTTGTACACTTTGGCATATGATCCGGTTCAATGCGAAACGTATAAAATGGGAAGCAATTCCTAGCATTACTTTATCAAGACATATTACTTTCCTAGTCAGAGTTCTTACATCCGAATATACTTATGTTGGTACCGAGCGCGGGCATCATTTGGGAAGTGCCGTGGTAGATCCTTATAATCTAACACAAAGCGTGGGTCATTTTACACTGCGTGTTTCACTTCAAATTTCAAGTAATAAAATTTAGGAATGCCATGTCATCACAAATGACAATTTTAATTGACATTTATGTCAATTTCAAAAGTATGAGCACAGATGCTAAGAATAAGCCAGGCACGCGTTATCTGGCAAGGCGTGTGGACAACTTTCGGACATTTAGATTGGTGTCTCACACAACCAGTCACACACAAGGCAACTCAGCACCAAGCCACCTGGATGTGGTCAACGTGGTATGAGAGCCAGAGATACAGGCCTCCTCTCCCCGTGCTTAGCGGCCGGGCACGCCATTTGAAAGACACCAGCAAATACGACTCAATACGGAATTTTGGAGACTGCGTTCGTGTTCAGGAGGTGTTCCAAAACACCGTGGAGGCATTTTGCTAGGCTGATGAATACTGACCATAAAACGGAAATGTCAAAATGTTGAACTGTCTATCATAAACAGATACATGTTAGCAAATGTTTGTTAAAATATATCATAAGCCTTTAAAGGTCCACACGTGGAATAAAACACTGCACGGTATAAACTGGAAAACCTGCTTAAAATTAGAAATAGAAGCTTCAGCAAACTCATCATCTCTCTTGCTCAATGTTTTGCTGTCATTTCCGTGATGAATATTTCGTTGGATGTGAGGACAAATAGTTGCAGGAACGCTACACAAGGTCACATTCATACCTTTCAAATTCGCAAAAATGTGTTTTCGCCGTCGAAAGCTCGCCCTGATCAGTGACCCATGGTTATGAGTGTTGGAGCCCTTTGTCCCTTGCATTGGTGGTGAGAACGTAACATATCGCATGCAGGGCACCTTGCACACCAAACATTTATTAGCTTAGGACAGAGGTACAATTTTTCACATTGC